CACAAACTACTTCCCAGTACTACTGTGTACTACAAAGCGTACACAAACTACTTCCCAGTAGTACTTTGTACTACAAAGCTTGCACAAACTACTTCCCAGTACTACACAAGCATAAACAACACGGCGATAAACAAAAACAACTCGGAAAGATCAAGACAAACAGGCGCAACACCGAGAGACCAGAACCAAGACGATCAGACGGAGGCAAACAGAAACAACACGCCGATAAACAGAAACAATGCGGAAAAACAAACACAAACAGAAACAACACCAGGCGACAGAAACAACAAATACAACAGGAAGAGAGAGAGAGAGAGAGGTTGACAGAAAAACAGAAACAACCAAAAGACAGACACAGATAGAACACGGAGATGCTGACGCAAACAGAGGGGACACAGAAACCACATGAATGAGACGCCGAATGGTCAAGTCAACAGACGACCGACAAAGGCAAACAAAACAAGAATTAGCCAAGCCACCTGTCCCGGTGCTCGTACCCACGACGATGGTCCCCCAGGCAACCCTACCCAGCTTTGCGCTTTGCAAGTCTGGGGTAGGGCGCCGGGCCGGCCCGTCTGGAACGAACACCTCCGCATCTTCCTCAGCTTCATCCCACGTAACAACAGTAATATTTTAAACTTAATGTACATATTCAAAGCTTATAGTTCCACATACTTAGGACGTACAGAACCACACGTAGTGTGCGCCAAATTCATTTCTCAACACGAACTTTTCGAGATCATCATGCTAAACGTATTCACAGTGTGCATCGCCTGAATACCTGCGCTTATGCAGACGTTAGACTGACGGATCACAGCAGACAACAGCAAGTCTCACACAAATCACACGAGCGGGCAACCAGCTTATGCAATCACCAGCGCGATTAAACGCACGAAGCAACAACAAACGCACCATCAACCGCATATTGTATGATCGAGTATTCGCTTCTTGTGCGAAAGCCAAGGGTTGGCTTCAGCTCACTCCAATTCACGCATTTTGATTGTGCTGTCTCAACTTTAAATCTAGCTCATTTAAACCTCTTCAAAAATATAACACCTTTAAGCAACGCCATACACAAAGGCCTCTGGGTTGTTGCATGGATCTTATAACCTACTTGTACCTAGCTTCGTTGAGCCAAGGATCCGTGGCCACCAGCATGTACTGGGCTGGTGGACACACAGGGGGAGCCGCGTCGGGCGGTTCAAAGCTGCCGCCACCGCTGCGGACCTGGCAAACCAAAAAAAACAACAGCAGAAACAACATCAACGACACCACCACCACCACCACCACCACCAACAGCAACAGCAACAGCAACAGAAACAGCAACAACAACAACAACAACCACAGCCACAACCACAACCACAACCAACAACAACAACAACAACAACCAACAACAACAACCAACAACAACCAACAACAACAACAACAACAACCAACAACAACAACAACAACAACAACAGCAACAACAACAACAACAGCAACACCAACACCAACACCAACAACAACAACAACAACAACAACAACAACAACAACAAGAAGAAGAAGAACGACAATAACGACAATAACGACAACAAGGACGACGACGACGACGACAACAACAACAACAACAGCAACAACAGCAGCAACAGCAGCAATGCAGCGACATCCGGAGGCGAGATTTCAAAATCTAATTACATAGAAGTCTTGGCTGCTCAGAGGGAGATGTGCCACTCCCCCCTCGGCCGGACATACAGCTCTTCCTGTAGCCGGCCAAGGAGGGGCAGCAAGTCATCTCCCTCGACAACATAAGCTGTCTTCGTCAAATCCTGCCAACAAAGCACGCATTCACACACACACATACACACAAGCGCAGAAGCAAGCAAAAAAAAAACATGCGCCTGGCTCCACTTCTGCAATTTTGTGCGGAAGCGGCGGCCAGCTATTTCGGCAGCAAGCGCCTGTAATTAAAGGTAGCAGCCAAAGTCAAGAAAGTGACGAAGACCAACAGAATAAAAAGAACGAACCTCAACTTGCTCCGAAGTAACCGACCACCCAGGATGGCCAAGGGTCACATCATATAGTACAAGGAACATACCTTTCAAAAAGAATATTGTCAACTGATTTATCAAGGTTCATTTGTGGGATTTGATGAATTTCGAATTCTTCATCTCTTTGAAAATTCCTCTATAAGGTCATAAGCTTGTAGCCACCTGATAGTTTCATCCATTCTCGACCAGGGGATGATCGTTGGGAATGGTAAAGCCAATAAAACATCATAAACAGGTATATATATATATAATTATATAATTATATATATACTATATATAATATATGTAAAACCATCCCCACATGGTAGGTTTCTGGCATTGGGTTCACATTCAAGAACATAGTATATAAACTTGTATTTGGGTGATTTTGGGGGTAAATGTTGATAAATATTCCATACATGGAGCGTATGGGTAGTATAACCTCCTGCATCAACCCATCCACCGTCCTACTCAACGGCCCGTCCATCGCCCACCTTCTTCGAGACCTCTTCCGCCAGAGCTTCTGCCTTTGCAGCCGCTCGACCCGCCAGCACGGCGCGGTCCGAGTGCCATCCTGAGACGCCGACGCAACGCATCCTCCAAGATGATTTCATGGATTTATCTCAAATAGGAATATCATGGTATGATATGTATGGTTGGTATGTATGGTTGGTATGTATGTATGGTTGGTATGTATGTATGGTTGGTATGTATGGTTGGTATGTATGTATGGTTGGTATGTATGTATGGTTGGTATGTATGTATGGTTGGTAAGTATGTATGGTTGGTATGTATGTATGGTTGGTATGTATGTATGGTTGGTATGTATGTATGGTATGGTATGTATGTATGGTATGTATGGTATGGCATGGTATGGTATTGTATGGTATGGTGCGGTGTGGTGTGGTATGGTATGGTATGTATGCATGTATGCATGTATGCATGTATGCATGTACAGCATGTACAGCATGTACAGCATGTACAGCATGTACAGCATGTACAGATTGTAAAGCATGTACAGCATGTACAGCATGCACAGCATGCACAGCATGTACAGCATGTACAGTATGTACAGTATGTACCGTATGTACAGTATGTACAGTATGTACAGTATGTACAGTATGTACACTACGTACACTACGTAACTATGTACACTATGTACACTATGTACACTATGAACACTATGTACACTATGTACACCATGTACACTATGTACACTATGTACATTATGTACATTATGTACATTATGTACAGTATGTACAGTATGTACAGTATGTACAGTATGTACAGCACGTACAGCACTTTGTATGAATGTATGTATGTATGTATGTACGTTGGTCCGTATGTATGTGTGTATGTGTGTATGTGTGTATGTGTGTATGTGTGTATGTATGTATGTATGTATGTATGTATGTATGCATGCATGCACGTATGTATGTATGTATGTATGCATGTATGCTATGTATGTACGTAGGTCCGTATGTATGTGTGTATGTGTGTATGTGTGTATGTGTGTATGTGTGTATGTGTGTATGTGTGTATGTATGTATGTATGCATGCATGCATGCATGCATGCATGTATGTATGTATGTTATCTATGTATGTATGGTACCTGTGTATGGTATCTATGTATATATGTATGTATGTACGTCTGTCTGTATGTCTGTATGTATGCAAATGTATGTATGCAAATGTATGTATGTATCTATCTATCTATCTATCTATCTATCTATCTAATCTATCTAATCTATCTAATCTATCTAATCTATCTAATTTATCTAATCTATCTAATATCTAATCTATCTATCTATCTATCTATCTAATCTATCTAATCTATCTAATCTATCTAATCTATCTAATCTATCTATCTATCTATCTATCTAATCTATCTAATCTATCTAATCTATCTAATCTATCTAATCTATCTAATCTATCTAATATCTAATCTATCTAATCTACCTAATCTACCTAATCTATCTAATCTATCTAATCTATCTAATCTATCCTATCCATCTATCTATCTATCTATTATCTATTATCTATCTATCTAATCTATCTATCTATGTGATGTAATGGTATGGTATGGTATGGTATGTATGGTATGTGTGGTATGTATGGTATGTAAGGTATGTATGGTATGTATGGTATGTATGGTATGTATGGTATGTATGGTATGTATGGTATGTGTGGTATGTGTGGTATGTGTGGTATGTGTGGTATGTGTGGTATGTGTGGTATGTCTGGTATGTCTGGTATGTCTGGTAGGTATGGTACGTATGGTACGTATGGTACGTATGGTACGTGTGGTACGTATGATACGTATGGTATGTATGGTATGTATGGTATGTATGGTATGTATGGTATGTATGGTATGTATGGTATGTATGGTATGCATGGTATGCGTATGGTATGTATGGTATGTATGGTATGTATGGTATGTATGGTATGTATGGTATGTATGGTATGTATGGTATGTATGGTATGTATGGTATGTATGGTATGCATGGTATGCATGGTATGTATGGTATGTATGGTATGTATGGTATGTATGGTATGTATGGTATGTATGGTAGGTAGGGTAGGTACGGTATGTACGGTATGTATGGTATGTATGGATGGTATGTATGGTATATATGGTATGTATGGTATGTATGGTATGTATGGTAGATATGGTATGGTATGGTATGGTATGGTATGTATGGTATGTATGGTATATATGGTATGTATGGTATGTATGGTATGTATGGTAGGTATGGTATGGTATGGCATGGTATGGTATGGTATGGTGCGTACAGGTTCGTGTGCTACATGTGTTACGTATGTCACGTATGTCACGTATGTATGCCTCGTATGTCACGTATGTCACGTATGTCACGTATGTCACGTATGTCACATGTCTCACATATGTCACGTATGTCACGTATATAATGTAATGTACATGTAAGGTATGAAAGGTATGTAATGTAATGTATTGTAATGTATTGTAATGTATTGCAATGTATTGTAATGTATTGCAATGTATTGCAATGTATTGTATTGCGATGTATTGCAATGTATTGCAATGTATTGCAATGTGTTGCAATGTTTTGCAACGTATTGCAATGTATTGTAATGTATTGCAATGTATTGCAATGAATTGCAATGTATTGTAATGTATTGCAATGTATTGTAATGTATTGTGATGCATTGTAATGTATTGTAATGTCATGTATTGCAATGTATTGTAATGTATTGCAATGTATTGCAATGTGTTGTAATGTATTGCAATGTATTGCAGCAATGTATGGTAATGTGTTGCAATGTGTTGCAATGTATCGCCATGTATTGAAATGTATTGCAATGTATTGCAATGTATTGTGATGCATTGTAATGTATTGTAATGTATTGCCATGTATTGCAATGTATTGCAATGTATTGCAATGTATTGCAATGTGTTGTAATGTATTGCAATGTATTGCAATGTATTGTAATGTGTTGCAATGTATTGCAATGTATTGCAATGTATTGCAATGTATTGCAATGTATTGCAATGTATTGCAGTGTATTGAAATGTATTGCACTGTATTGCAATGTATTGCAATGTATTGTAATGTATTGTAATGTATTGTAATGTATTGTAATGTATTGCAATGTATTGCAATGTATTGTAATGTATTGTATTGTAATTTATTGTAATGCATTGTAATGTATTGTAATGTATTGCGATGTATTGTAATGTATTGTAAGGTATTGCAATGTATTGTAATAGAAGTATGTATGCAATGTGTATATAATATATTAAACTATATATATATGTGTGTACCTAACACTGGGGAGATGTTAGATGAAATATAAACCAGGTAGCCTCTGGTGTCATCAAATACGGCGGGCTGAGAAATCCCCGAACTAGCCATGGAGGTGTTGATGGTAAAATCATCCCATGAAATGGATAAACTATGATAAACTATTGTATGGTTGATAGCCAAAACATGACACATCAAACCATTTAAAACTGATATATTACTCTAAATAATATTAGATATAGGCTATGAACCATCCGCTAGCTGACTATTCATTTTCAATAGTTCATAGTTATAGGTCAAATCTGGGGTAGAAAACTTCTCCGAGCGTCGCACGCGGTTGATCCAGTGCTGTAGTGCTTCATCGCCCACCGTGGGTGGATGCTGTGGCATCTGAGGAACCGAGTTGGTCGGAAAAAAACATGGGAAAAAAGCAGCAGAATCTTGGAGGATTCCAAGAACTGCCACAAGCATATGTTCAAGAATGTTCCAGCTGGAAATTTGGAACATCTTAGAACATGTTGAATCACTGTGGAAAAAGTCTATAACATGTTGAAAAAACACCTGAGTCAGGAGACTTTTGCACCGAAACTCATGCTGCCAGTAAAGTTTTTCAAGGTTCCAAGTGACATGTTCCACCATGAGGGGGTCCAGTAGATGCGGCGGCCGCCGCCAGACAAGCTGATCCGGAGAGACCATTGTGGCCATGGCGGAAGGCGATTCCCCGATATGGCGGATTTGAAAGGGAACTGATCTGCTGATTTGTCGCCCCCATAGGATCTGCTGATGGGTGCCCTATTTTCAGACCATGTCTGTTTAGAAATGTGCAAAAGGTGAACCAAAAGGTGAACAGACTTGTGAATTTGAAGAGTGTGAATGAATTGTTTGGGGTTGTTGCACTCCGAAACCGTTTCTGGACTGTGTAATTTTTGGTTGTGCAACCCGTTTCGATTGTTGATTAACCCACGAGTTGTTGATAAACATCGACCAAATAGAATCTAAACGAACCGAAAGGCCGAGACAATGGACAAAAGGATCAAAAGGCAACACCCACCATTGTCTTCTTGGTCTTATCATGCCATAGGCAGGGACGAAGTCTGACTTTTTCCCACTGATAATCCAAGAGTTCAGCCTCCCTTCAGCCCTGGACTTTCCAGGGCAAGGTCAGTGATCACGGCGCTAAAAATGGGTGAAAAGAGTTCGGTCCCTCCCAACATCTTCTATGCACACACAAGTTGGCAATAATAGTCATTGGAGTGGTGTCCAAAATGTGTCCAAAAGCTGCTAGCAGTAGAAACTCACATACTTACCCTCCGTTGTAATTTGCTATGGAAGCCACAGCCCATTGATAGATGATTTGCCTCTTCGAAATGATGATTTGTTATAGCTATGTTAAATTACCAAAGGGTACTTTAAAAAAACACAAACGCGAAGGAAAAGACAAACCATAGTCACCATGACATAGTAACCTCAGTGTAACCTTGGCAAATAATATTCTAAGCAGGCTATGGCGGGTGTGGCTATGGTTGAGCACGGTACCAAGATGTTCATCCCACTCTCTTGATAGAGTGTCAAACTGTGGAACCCCAAACGATTGAATGTTTGAAACATTGTCATGGAACAAGCATCTCATCATCAATAACTATGCATACGAATCGTATACTGGTTGGTGGTTTCAAGCCCTCTGAAAAATATTAGTCAGTTGGGATTACTATTCCCAATATACGGAAAAATTAAATTCATGTTCCAAACCACCAACCAGATATAATATATGTATGGTCCGCTGGGGGACCACCCAAACATACAAAAACCAATCAGAACGCATACAATGCAAAACAATGGGCGTTTCTCTGCTGATTTTCTTGTTCTTTGATTTTGTACATGTCCTGACCCTGGCCACAATGTTCTTACTTCAGGATAACTTATAATGTGGTAAACCCAATAAATCTACCATTTGGGATGGTTTATACCATTCATCTATGGCAATATTGGGGATTGTTTACTAATTAGCACCATTCATCTATTGTTCTTACCATTACGTTTACTAATTATGACTATTATATAGTGCCATGCATCTTTCATGCCTTTGCTATTATTACTAATTATTGCCATTACTGCGAATGCTTGGTTTACTGGTTATTACTATTATAGCCATTCATCTTTCATGGGTTTGGGGATGGTTTACTAATTAGCACCCTTCATCTATGGTTCTTACCATTGATCTATGGATCTATGGTTTACTAATTATTACTATTATTCTACTTATTGCTATTGCCATTACTATCTATGGTTATACTATGGTTTGTTATTATTTCTAGTTATTATATACTATTATCTTATGTGTATTATTACCATTACTATCTATGGTTAGCTAATTATTATTAATAGATATTAATAGTTATTACTATGATTCTATGGTGTACTCGTATTACTATGTAGAAAAAACAAACATATTTCATGTTCCGCTGGGAGGTCGACGCTAGTCCGTGGCGACAAGCAGGACTGCTAGTCCGCTGGTCAGTTCAACGGGGCTCGTTGGACGGACACCCGGCGGCTGCGGAGTAACCCTGGTTTAAGATCGTTGAATCAAGTGTATATAATCCTCATGAAATGCTATCTATGGATATATTTATCTATATAATTATATATATATATACACACACATATATATAATTATATATATACTGTATATATGTGATTATTTAGATAGGTGATCTGATATGATATAATGGTTTGAATGTTTGGAACCCTTCTCGGCCTGAAATGCCATGGCTGGCTCACCCATGCAGGACATGCCAAGAGGTGATGAGATCCACAGAGTTAGCCTCCGGTAACGTGGCAATTGAAAATCCTCTAAATTTTATGAAGGTCTTAATGGGAAAAAACAATTATACACTGGTTGGTGGTTGAGCCACCCCTCTGAAAAATATTAGTCAATGGGAAGCATTATTCCCGATATATTGAAGAATCAAATTCATGTTCCAAACCACCAACCAGCTATAAATGGTGGATTTAAGTTGCCATGTTTGACTACCTGAGGGTCAAACATGGATTTTTGTTGGGGCACCTGACTTCCTACGAGGGTGCAGGGGTCACTAGTTCAATAGCCTTTTTTCATGAATTAGAATAAAGTGAACTCCAACCATCCGCAGATCATTGTCAATCTTAGTCACCCCGCGCAATTCTAATTGTATATAGACATATATAGACTATATTCATTAGATGTTTGGATATCTTTGGCATTTGTTAGTTGTCTGACTATCCCCAGCTGCTGAAGAACTAAAGTATACTTCCTGCCTTTCTGCCATGAAATCCCAAGAGTCACGCATGTGTTTTCGGCAATTTACTACAGCTTTAGGGCCGCAGTAGCCCTTGTGGAAAATCGAGAAATAGTACGAGCCCGCCGTTAAGAGGTCAAAAAACCCTCTCCGAAGCTGCGAGAAGCGCCGTTTTCGCGTTCGCGATAGCGGAAGGGAGCTCCCCGGCCGATGAGATTTCATCTTGAACAGTGGAAAAACAGCTTCTGAAATACCAATCAGTTAAATATCCAGTTATATTCAAGCATATTCAAACATTCATCAGGTTATATCAGGTTTGAGATGAGAATGACTCGGAAACCGTTTGAATTGCTGCCTTGCCAGGGATGCCCCTTCTGGCTGTGCATCCACAATCACTCCAGTGCGGATGATCTTTCCAGTCATGCTCTGTGGAAGCAGTGCTGCAGCGACGCGAGTCTTGCTTTGCAAGGACGAGTATTGGCAAATGGCATGGTATTTTTCAGTGCCGTCAGGTCTGATAGTTGTTGCTGTTTGTTGTCCCAGTCAGTTGTTTTTTCTGCTGCCTGCTTGAGATGTATTGGCAATACTTAGTTTTCCGTTGACCTCAGGGTATGTTTCATTGAATATGATGGAAAGTTTCTAAGTGGAAACTACAGCGTTCATTCACAGTCCACAAGTCATTTTCACATATTTTCAGCAGACTGGCTTCAGCATTCCTCATTAATCTTCGAAGCTGAACGTTTGGAGTGAGCACGATGTCCAAAAGAGGACACGCTGCTCGCATCGTCGTCCCTTGGAATCGGCTGACAAGGCGTTGTAAATGACAACATACGGGCCTGAAAAGGTCTGAAAAGGGATTGCTATACCCCAAACATGGCATAACATGGCTAGTCATGGCTATAAAATTCTTGATTCACCATTGAATATCATGAAATTAATCTTGAGTTTTTTATTGGGACGTCAATGGAAATGAGATGTCAAGAAAGTTGAAACAGACAACGGCTTTGGCAACCAGGTGGTCTGGCTTCGTTCCTCATAGTCTCTCCCTTTTCCTTATAGGCTTCCGCCACCGGCTTGCCCGGGCTCTACTTGTATGCTGGTTATGTCGTGTATACTAGCTTATGTATATGTAGGGATATTGCGCTCTGCAGAGAGGATCGGTTCTCCCTACTTCCATGGGCTCGGACCTTCGTCAGAGCCGCACGGGCTAAGAATCATGGGACAAACGGTTGTCGGCCCAAAACGAAGAACCGCATTCTGCGATGCATCCAGAAATGCGGTATCAACAGCAGATGCACCTCAAAGAGGACAGATGGAGTTCACCTTCTGCCGACTTCCATGCAGCTACCGGAAAAGCATTAACATCCGGCTATAGGCTGTTCGTCAGCTTGTACACAACTTGAATTTGGGCACTTGCGCCCCAAGAAATTACAAGATAAAACAGGAGAAGGAAAAGGCTGCCGGGGCCACCTCCTGGCTCAAGCCGTTGGGCCTACCGTTTTGGCAGGTGCAAGAAAACTGCAAGCTGTGCTGTGCCAAGCATGTCCAGCAGGCGCATAAGACATTTTCATACATTTTCCATGTCCGCCCTCGAAGCTGCATGGCGACCAGAAACAATGCGGCGCGAAGCCAGCCATTCCCAAGCCCAAACGCTCGCATAACCAGCCGAAATATCGCAAATTGCATCAAATTACCAACCGCTTCTGCCCACGATGAAGGTAGCTATCATCCACGCAGTGCTGGATCGCTGCCTACCACCCATCAAGTCTTGCAACTTGCCAGCCTGTTGTTGCGCGATGCCGTTGTCTTGCAAGTGCTTGGCAGTGGCGCACGAACAATCCGCACAGCATTCTGGATTGACAACACTAGAAATGTAGCCACCTGAAATTTTTGCCTGAACTTTTGGACATGGAGCTCACTGGCATTCCGCCAAGATGTTTTCCAAAGCAATGCGCAGAGGAAGTTTGAAACACCCAATGATGACAAAGACAAACAGGGCAGTCTCCCAAGCAATGACAAGATCGCCGGCATGGTACTGTGCACCATCCAAACTTCCACATCTGAGTATCCAGCAAATGGAGCGAAGAGAGCTCACCAAACATGTATCATGAACGAACGGATGCAACCAACCCTCAAACGCTCTGCTGAAATCAGTCTGACCACTGGAAGGGGTTTGAGCCCAGACTATGTATATGCAGGGATAAATAAAGTACAAGGAGTACATATATATATATATAATTATATGTATCTATATAAATCTATTGCTACATGGTATATACAATTATGTAAATATAAAAGTAGTATGGATATGGTTTGTATGTTGTAGAGAGTGTTACATAGTTGGGTGATATTCTATATGTAGTTTATAATATAGAGAGTATGCAAGTAGTACATAACATAGTAGTATGTAGGTGTATATACCTAGTACGTAATTAGGTAGAAGAATGGTAGAAGAACAGTAGTTTTGTGGGTAGTGATGTGGTTAAAACAATAATAAACCACCCCATGTTTTATGGTTTATATATACCACCCATTTATGGTGATTTTGGGGATGCTTTATTATTGTTTTAACATGTTTTAACCACATTAAAGAGGTTTGGTTTAGAGTATATATAAGTAATTATATAAGTAGCGACGGGGTCTCGTTGGGAGATTGAAGGCGGCATCTCCCACATGCTGCCCAAGTGACGGGGCGGTGACGGTGGCAACCAATTCGTAAATGGCACCTGTCTCCTGCGGTTGAGCCTTCAAGGCCTTCAAGGCCTTCACCGACAAGGAGATACCACATGACATGGTGGGTCATCTTCTTTCTAGTATACTTACACATCTTACACAGTAGTTTACAGTTGATATGGTTAAATCATGTCAAATTATGTCAAATTCTTGACCATCCCAATTCTGTTGGTACCAACTCTTAACCTTCACCCCTCACCTGACCATTCGCAATGAAGAAGGTGCCTTCAACGGAGGCACTCGGTGCAATTGTCCCTGTTTTGGGTCTTTGAAAATAGCATCGTATGGCAATAAACCGTAATAAACCTCACCAGGTTGGCGCCATGGCATGGCTTATTGGCACAAAAATTGGCCGCCCATGTTGGCCGCCACATCTCGCCCGTCCTGTGACAAGAACTTGCGCAGGTCCACGATATCTTTCACTTTTGCGTTGTTGGTACCTGCCGGAGAAGTCCCGAAAGCAGAGATGGGAAAAAACGGTGGAGTTTTCCAAAGATGTTTACCGTTTGTTTTTTTAAGAATGTTGATATGTTTACCCTCTGGTAATCAAACATCACAATGGAAAATCTCCTATATATATAAATGGGCATTTGAATGGGCATTGAAATGGTTGTTGTCCATAAATGGGCCATTTGATGCCATTTGCCATACGGTTTAACAATGTTTAACATAATTAATTATATAAAATCAAATATGAATAATTAGTTGGTGGTTTCAATCCCTCTGACAATATTAGTCAGTTGGGATGATTATTCCCAATATATGGAAACATATGGAAACATAAAAAATGTTCCAAACCACCAACCACATATAGGAATACTGCAAAGCCACCGAAATCGATCAGTCCGTTGGTGGGATTCTCTGCCATCTGAGCGTGCCCTTTACCATTTTTTGAGGGATCGTTTTTTCGTCCCTTGTCCCTTTCGCAAGGCGGACTGAAGAGTCGTCTAGCCGGATTGTGTCTCAAGATTCTTCAAATGTCGTCTTATTTGAATCTATTCTAGAAAAATATAGTACCAGGGTCGTCAACATTGACCAATTATAAAAGGATACCAATTGATACCAACTCTCAACCCTCACCCAATTGTTGACCATTTATCAACCGTTATTATCTCACGACTAGTCATCATGTTCGCGATTTAAAAGGGACGTATTCTAAGGCTATCCCTCAGTTTCAACCCTAGGCCCAACGGGTTGAAACATGTTGAAACCGCTTCGGTGGAGGCCTCGTAGTTCGAGAATCGCCTCCATGAACTCTGCAAAAGAGAGCTCCCTCAGTTCTTTTAAACATGTCAGAAATGCCAGGTTCCTACTTAGGGAGGTTTCCTAACATGGTACCCCCAAATCATCCACCAGCTACGACAGCTACGTATAGATGGATGTTCCGTTTAACCATCCAGCTATTGGGCTACGGGCTACCCGGGCTACCCCAAAAAAATGGAACTGCCGAGGCTGATCTCGGTCCACAACTTGGCTGCACCAAGCTGTGAAGCACGTCCGAAGTTGCAATGATTCTACTGCTTGTGACGGCACACCATTGATATACAAATTCAATAACTGGTACAGAATTAGTAGATTGAATCTGTATCATATCTAGTAGATTATATCTTGCATATGATTTTTTCTCCTATTGCTAGACTAATTTCTGAAAAATGTGCTGGATTTAAGAATCGCAGTTACAGATACTAGCTACAGTTTGCTAATGATACTGATGACTCTAGTTATAGACGCTGATGGTGCTCCAACCTCTCAGATTCTCAGGGCCACGTCATGACCGTTTTGACCAAGGTGCACATCGCCTTCTTTCCCGAAGAGCACATCCTGAGACTCTCTGAATAGGATCCCGGGAAAGGTCTAAAGTGTTGTCCTTTCTTGGATGATGGGACCGTGTTTTTGTTGAGAAATCCCAAAATTGAGCTGTTGAAATTCAGCTTTATAGGATTTTATAGGTATGTTGGAGTGTTTAAAGTGGAAACGATGACAAAACACATCGAATTTCGGGCTGGTTTCTTAAAAATATGATCCCTAAAAGGCCCTAAAACCCAACAAGCTTCGTCGTTTTTCAGGAGTCGACACAGAGGGAGTATCAGGGAATATCAGGGAGTCAGCTTCCAACAAGCTCGGTTATGAGATGATGTTACATCTGCAATTTTTGGATATTTTTGGCAAATTGACCAACCACCAACAATTTGACACTTAGTCATTCAACATCATAGATTTCCAGAGCGCAAATGGTTTCAGATTGCTGGGTGCTGATTGAAAAAAGAAACTACCATGGACCCGTGAGCAATAGTGACCAGTTGCACAATATTCTCCAAATGTATCATAGCAATTCGTAGATATCCTTCTCAAATGCATGTCTTTGAGCCGGAAGGTCCATTTTGCCATGAAGGAAAAGAAATGACCAATGCTGAGCTACCAAAGCTTCAGAAACCAACCATTGATTCACCAAAATTTGCCAAACGTGGCCAGGCACGCGATAGTCCACCAAACCAACCACATCAACACCTCTCGCAGCAGACGTTTTGTGGGATAAGTTGAGGGCGAAGGCTTCTTGAAAAACCCATGGGGGAAACGCCTTCGGTTTCCTACAATTCAGCTGGGTTTTCCCTACAATGACTGCAGGGCCTCCGGTAATTCAGGAGATATCCCATCACTGGAGTGATCTGGAGTGTATGCAATATCAACCATCCAATCCATCGGGGGCCATGAGTTTTCCCATTCGACTAACGGCAACTGTCCTAGATCTTGGGGGATTTTGAGGGAGATTTGCTGAGCCATTAACTGGTTGAGCTTGCGGTTTCCCAATCCCATGGCTTATCAGAATTCCCAAAAAATTAGCTAGTATATAAGTCCATATAAGTCCCTAGTTCTGGAACCATGGTATAATATGGTATAACTTTAATGATTCAATTCATCACACCATTTTCTTGGAAAACATGTATATTATAATATATATATATAATTATATAATATTATATATATATATATGTCTATATATATATATGTCTATATACATAGTGGGTTTTCCTATGTGTTCCCTTTATTAACCAATCAACTAGGCGAGTGGCCCAACCAATGACTCTTCGGATATCTTCGGATCCACCCGCCCTGACAAAGCTCCACTCCGGCGGCCTATGTTCAGCAACGCTTTGGCAGCTTCAGGTTTCGAGAGCAGGGTATCAAACTCCTAGGCCCGCAGGATGTCCCAATGGCTTAGGGGTGATCCGAAAAAATTCGTGTTCCGAAAAAGTCACACCCCCAAAAAATAGTACAGAAGTCAGATCTTTAATGACACATCACTTTTTTTTAGAGGATTGGATTTGACTCTTCTTTACTATAGTTTCTTTCCGTGTTTGTCTCTCTCTTCCGCCGGTGCTATAAGGTATACACACATAATCATGTGTATCGATGATATATATAATATATCTAATACATAATAATATATATAATATATATATAATATATATAATATATATAATATATATAATATATAATATATAATATATATATATAATATATATAATATATAATTATAATATATAATATATAATATATAATATAATATATAATATATAATGTTATATATATATATCATAATATTATATATATATATATCTTCATAATATATCTTGGTGTTTTCCCCGCAAGTCATGGCCTTCAGAACTGCTACATTTCTATAGCTGTACCTCCACTATTTCAAGCGTCCCTACGAGGTGAGACCCCGATGTTTGTTGATGAATTACAGATATTTTATAGACGATATTTCTCAATGCCCCATCAAAACTTAGCTTATTTTATGTTATTTTTATAGATGAAATTTCTAATTGCCCCATACAAAGTCGTAGAGTATATGATAGTACAGTAATACTATTCTAGACCTTTAAATTTATGATCCCTGGGTAAACCATCCTAGACCTTGGTGAAACTGAGGGTATTGATAGTAATAGTATCTGGTTGTTCCCCTCAGTTTGATGGCCGAGTCACATCTTTGGAGATCTTGTTGTCGCCATCTGCGTCCAAATTCAGCTTGGTGATCATGTCCTCGCAGGGCGCTGCCGCGCAACGAATGGGGAGTCTCGCTTCATTTCCGATGTATTTTCCCAAGAAATCCACTCTGGTTGGTGGTTTTAACCATCTTGAAAAATATGAAAGTCAATGGGAAGGATTTTTCCATATATTATGGAAAATAAAAAATGTTCCAAACCACCAACCAGCACTGAATCTAGAGGGAAAATGGTTCATTTTGGGGCTTAGGCTTAGCAAATCCAAGTGTTCTCCGTTGAGATGCCCATTTTGGCGTATCACCATTTTCGGAGAAAACCATATCAGTTGAACATGACATCATTGCCCAGGTGCGGGAAAACGAATGATTCAACCATTGACCAATCAATGGTAGAATCCAGAAAGAAAGCATGTGGAATCTTTTTTTTAGCCATGTTTCTCAACATATTCAGCCCACATTAAACAGCAAACCCTCACCTGATCTTGGAAATCTCCCATGTTGAAACGCCAGTCATGTGGGTAAAACAACCAATGCCATGTGGCCACCATCCCCCAGTCACCAACATTTTGATTAAGGTGCTACGATTACCATTCCCCGTCATGGGTGGCAAAAATGGCATTGTTTTACCCACATCAAATCATATCATCTTATACAACTTGTCGCTTAGATTCTTGTTACTAACCCATCAAGTAGGTCTTGAGCTGAAACCTTGAATTCTCTTTGGTGAAACTCCCAAAGTAAGTCCAAAGAATACCATGATATATGCCATATATATCCAAAGTAACAAAAATGTGTTGGCTTGTATTGCTGTTTGATCTTAAGTGATCTTGTATTGCTACTTGATATTGGGTGCGTTTTGGCATAGGGCTGTCATTCGCCACGTCCGAAAAGTGCGCCGCGGCTCCGAAAAAATCTTCTTCACGAAGGAGACTTCCATCCTCAGACGTCTTCGGACAAGCGAGGCACCAAAGAACAAAGACCCTCCCAACATATGGAGGTTTTTCAAATGGATCCCCAAGTCACCATGGGTTGTATATGGTTGTATAACTTCGATAACCAAAAAAGTAAAAATCATAAAATGGTCTAAGACTGGGATGATTTGGGGTTACCCCTATTTTAGATAACCCCAACCTATATTCCCCTAGTATCACCCCCAAAAGTAGAACAATCCCCGTAGGGAAAGGGGGAAAAAAAACAATTTCATCAAAATCCAGGAAGAGATCATTGACATTCCATCTTGCATGGTCTATTATTCCATACCAAAGAACAAAAGCCAGTCCCTAAGCAGTACCTGTTTTTGAGTTATCCTCCCACTGCTGGTTGTTAAAACACATGTTGATTGATCATCATGCCGTCCTTGTTGGCGTCGAAATGTTGTTTTCCGGTCAATCCCCAGTCCAAGATTCTGTTCACGTTCAATCTCGCTGACGGTTTTTATGACCTCCACCAACACGCCCACAAGCATGTTCATCATTGTTACCTGAGCAGAACTGGTGCGAACTGGGGGGGGAGCTATCAAGTGGGCTATTTTCTGTCAATGAAAAGCCGAGCCTTTTTAGAGTTCTCAACCACAACAATAGCCTGCACCGTATAACATCATATAACCAACAACAATAGGAATGATTCACCAATGGTTCCCTGAACAAAATATGTTTTCTAAGCCCAGCATCGGCTCCACCAATATGACTGGAATCACAGCAAGTTGGACGCATCACTGGGGTCTGTTTGGGATCACCATTTACCGCAACCACTAATTCGCAAACAAATAGAACAGTACAATCATACTGAAATAGTCAACTTCTAATTACTATATTTTTTGCTTACTATCATGATCTATCAGAGATACTATGTATACATTTGTACACCAGAAAAACACCGAGAAATGGCACATCACTGTGCCGAGAAATCAGCCATTTCTTGCCATTTCGAGCTGCTGAACCCAGGAGGATGAACACAAACATCACAATCGCCTGCCAGAGCCGAGGTCAAACTTTGAACGGAGACACATGGAGAAACAGAAGTTGTAGGATTAACAGATTTTCAAAAGTTATGATTGTTAAATGAGTGTTATGCATACTTAGAACCAAAGCTTATGGACTCATTCATAATTTTGATATTGGAAAAAACAAGTTTTCGGGCCATCACAGCCTTTTCCTCAGGATTTCATTGGGATCTTCAGCACATGGTTGGAAATCCCACAATGACCACACTGTCCAAAAAATCTGGGGATGCTGCTACGACTGCTCCCTCGTCGATAATTTCACCTCGCAGGCCACGCGGGCTTGCGTCCAAGGCTGGTCATTGCATGTGAGACATACACCAACATATACCAACCATATCAAAGGCATTTAAAGGCAACGAATAGCAAACAACATCGGGGGATTAAATTGATTTAGCAAACAACATGGGAGATGACATCAACAAACTGTGTTGGTCTTGCACCAAAATTGCATCAAAATTTCTGGCTATGCAACACCTGTTGCACTTGTTCACTAGGATTTGCTGAAAATTAGTTTCCAAAAATATGTAAATAACCCGTGTAGATTCCCCAAGTAGTGGATTTCCGTGGGCAAAAATCTACCAAGTCATCGACAATAAAACACAGTATCATCCTATTGAACCATCCTCCGGCGAAGGCCAGGAATGGTTTATGAAAAATCATGAAAAATCCCAAGATAAAAATAGATTTATCCAACTAACTGATGCTATGTTTGTATATGTTTCAAAATATCCCAACAAAGATGTACAACTCACATATCTATACATATCTCACATATATATGGATGTATCCAAGAGGTTCAACCTGATTTTGACCGAGAGATTTGGTCGCCAACCCACAACAGACGGGGACGAAAAACCCCGATCGATGGAATGAGGAGTTGACCAAGAAGAATGCGTATTCAGCCTCCATAGAACTCCATAGTATATACGATGAAAAGTAAATGGGATGTAAATGGGATGTAAATGGGATGTAAATGGGATGTAAATGGGATGTAAATGGGTGCATAAGCAAGAAGTAAGATGAAGTCTGGGTACACTTCTGGTGGTTTTTCAGACTGGTGAATTTCCCTGTGATCCAGTCTGGATACAAACAGCTCCGTCACTTTTCGGGAAACATACCTAATCATGTCTGTTTCCCAAGAGAAATGTTGGGGTTTCCACAAGTTATTTAACTGTTATCCCCAATGTTCATGTATAAAATTTTGTTGTGTTTTCCCACCATGATGTTGTTAATGTATGATATCCCACATTCATGTATGTCAATGTATGCTGTGTTGTTTCCTACTAATGTCAACTCCGGATTAATAAACCATGGTTTATTAATTGTGGGGGTACCATCCAAATAGTCACAATATGATACTTAAATATACTTAAATGGTGCCCTCCCAATTAAACAATCTAGGGGTTTATTAATCCAGGGTTGACATTACATCCTTCTCTTTTCTTCTGTCAGCCTCGAAATTCTTGTCAGCCCAAAAAAACGGTCGGGATTCAACCCCCTGCATCCGGACGTTGGTGAATCGATTTGCCCAGAAACCCGTAAATTACAGGGTGAATCCCACAGTATATGTGTGTATATACATAACTATAATATATATATATAATATATATATAATATAATATATATATATACCATATATAACTATATATATGTATATGTAATTATATATATATACACTAAAAAGATCTAAAAAACACTAAAACAACAGTTTTGGACGGTCGAATCCCCACTGTTGGGCTTGTTAGATTTGGCCGGCAAGACCAGCGGTTGATCCTGAGCAGGGTTCCTAGCGGTCCATGCACCATGATAATCCCATGAAAACCTATTGAAACACCAAGGTTTTAATATCTTGTTGGTGGTTGACCTACCCCTCTGAAAAATATGGGAGTTCGTCAGTTGGGATGATGACATTCCCAATATATGGAAAAATAAAATTCATGTTCCAAACCACCAACCAGATATGTTTTACATGCTTTTACCATCAACAAAAAACCATTCAGGCCCCCATTCAACCAGACTAAACCCCCATTTCTGGTGGGTCAACTGACCCCCGGTGACCCGGTCACCGGTTGCCGAGCGGCGCATGAAGACACTGAGATCCGGCAGGACAGCGTCCAAGAGCAGCGTGAGCATCGACTCCGTAAACCTCCAAGGTTCAACCGACCCTGTAGGAGTTTGTGAAACTGGAAGCGTTAAAACTTTGTTAAAGACATAGTGGAATAATACTATACATATTATATATATATATATTATATATATATATGTATTATATATATATGTATGTATTATACATGTATATTATATATATACTGTATGGCATATCAGTGATTAGTAATGCTGTTGTGCTATTGAACCGTTAGAGACATGGGAAACATCTGGGAACTATATGGAATGTTAGTATATATTAGTGAGATATGAATGGGATACCCTCCGGTATCATCAAAAATGGAGGGCTGCTGGGAATGCCACGAACTAGCCGTGAAGCTTTAGTTCGCTGGGAAAATCATCGGACGAGTTGGGATATTACTGGGAATTACCCAACCTGGTTATGGAACATTGCTATGGATGCTATGGCCCATAGAAATAGATCATAACAATAATTATTCAACTAGTTGGTGGTTGACCTACCCCTCTGAAATATTAGTCAATGGGAAGGATTATCCCATATACTATGGAAAAATTAAAAACGTTCCAAACCACCAATAATGATTTAACTATTAAAAATGGTGAGAGTCAATATCAGTATGTATCATTAATATGAGATGTCATTGAACAATCAAGCAATCGTTTTTTTTTTTCGAAACCATGAAACCCAGTGAACTTTCGTTCACAGCCAGGGGCCTTACATAGGGTCCCAGGCTATCAATGGGATACCCATTGATACACGGCGTGTTTGATTCCAGGAAAACCCATAGGTTTTCATGGTGATTTAACCACTATAAATGGCGATTTGATTCATGGTTCACAATGCTGAATTATGGGATGGTTTTTTCACCATCAGATGGGGTTTTTTTTGTATGGATACACCAAAAAAGAACGCAATGTCAATAGCGAATAATATGAGTGAACATCATGACAAACCAGTCGATTTAATTTCAAACAGAGCCATATAGAGACATATAGATACATAATATATATCATATCATATTTATATATATATAATGTGTTTACAATGGTTGTATTTTGGTTGAGAAATTATGTTTATTGTTGTAGTTAGTTGTCTACATAAATTGAAAAAAAACGCTTACAAAACAGAAATGCGGGTGTTCAGCACTTTTGTTTCAACAATTCCTAACTTGGAGGATTTACCCATCAAAAAATTGGAGATATTGGGAAAATTTGGGGTATATGGGTATGTGTTCTTATCCAGTACCATGATTCGTTGGATTTGTCTCAAAAGGGGGATCGTCCCACAAATTTGGTCACAACCCCATAGACAGCAAAGAAGTTGTGCGAGGAAAATACGGGGTTCAAGCAACAAGACCTGATGATTCGAACTCTAAGTTGAACAATTGGGTTAAAGCAGGGGTACAGTACGATCTGCAATCAACATTATGATGTTGAAATAGCCGTAGATGCCAAAAATTGGACGTTGATCATGGTCACTGATGTTTTTTCGTGGGTTGGAATGATATGTTTGTGGATCTTATTCAAATGGGTTCGTCTACCCCAAAAACCCTGTTCTGGCCACGGGGCTGAAGAATTTGGTATTAAAACAACCTCCCCCAAAATGAGGCTTTTAGATTTTAGTCCACATAGAATATCTGGGTAAACTGTGTGTTCCCACTTCCCACTAAAGCTTGGAATTTCGCTAGGCAACGATTGGGGCATTACCTTTCAAACATTGGAAAATACCAAGAAAATTGGGGGAAACGGATTGAATTTGGTGGATCTTCCAGTGCTCTGTGAGTGGCAAGAGTTGGCCTTTTATAAAATTTGACCGTCCTGCTTTAAAAATCGAGTCACATAGGGGGTCTTTACATGATCTCTGGATATGGAATAAAATTAGGCCATAAATTCACCACTAAGCTGATTTGTTCTAACCATCAAATGGGGATGGGTCAAAACCCTGGTACCTAGTGAACCCCAAAATAGCTGGTAAATGGATGTTCATCCCACTAAAAATATATCTATAGGTATTGACCTATACCCAAATGGGAGAGTTACCCAGTCTGTTACCCAGTGATGGACACCCCTTTCCAGGTGGCCATGACCTTGTGAAGTATTTGTCCCCCAGTGTTGTGTCTCTCGTCAGCTGGATAAAGATGATGGAGAACACCTCAGGTACTCCACTGGAGGTACGGACTGTGCATAGAAAACCATAGTTTGGTAGAAATATATAGTAACTATGGTTTTAGCTAGTAACCATATATGGTATAACTATATATAGTTTTTTCAGTTTCGTATGTATCTCCTGAAAATTAACCCTTACTGTAGACCTTCTATCTGGTAGGTATGGTACCTCCAATTTGGGTTTGGAGGGAAGATGATAAACCAGGAGATTTGAGATGCACCATTTTCGGACAAACCGAAGTGACCCAAGTGATCGATCGAACAAAAAAGGGATGCAATCCTATAACTTGGTGTGTCTGAAAATGCCGTGTACCCGAATTTACAACCATGTCAAGGCGAAAATGATGATTAACAAGTGGATGGAATTACGGTTTCCTAATTTTTCAGCCCATCTACTTCACATTTAAACTAATTAAACTGGATTTGTCAAAAAATCAGGACATGCTCTCAAGTTACAATTTGTGTGAAAATAATGATGAAGCATTGCGTCATAAGGGAATTTGTTGATCTACCAAAAAGATACCACAAACTTGTCTACGCACCTCTTGAACCCAGTAACCACTGATTCGGGAATGACCATTCCTTATTTTCTGGTAGTATACCCTCTGGTTATTTAACATAGCTATGAAAAATGGCCCATTTACAACTGATTTATGTTGATTTACCTATTAAAAACTATTAAACATTGTGATTTCCCATAGCTATATAGTTGGTATCATCCAACTCTTGACCATTGCAAACACGTGCAAGCATCATCTGTTCTCAATCTGGCGACTACGTCAGTTTGATCATTCCTACTTCGTCCTAGTCATGAAATGATTCTCATGCCCAGCCAATAAAAAAGATCGTTTTCTTGTGTGTGCGTGTGTGCGAGAGTAACCTTCATATTGATCCATCGGTATGGTATGCAAGTTGAAGTCCCGATATCAATATCCGTCTGTCTACAAGCATATAACATGTATAATATTATATAACTTGAGAGGGGGAACACGAAAGGTAGGTGATCAAGAAGGGGAAGCAAAACTTCTCCGTGTAAAAAATGGTTGTGTAAAAGCGTGCTGTGCGCAGAAGTTTTTGTGTGTCATGTTTTCTGTGTAAAGGCATCTGTGGGTAAAAGGGTCGGTGATGGTCGGTGTAAAAACTGTTATGCATAAGACCTCTGTGTGTAAAGGCTTCTGTGCGGAAAAAAATCTGTGTAAAAACTGCTCTGGGTAAAGTTTCTGCGTGTAAAAGTTTCGGTGTGTAAAAAATTATTTGTGCAGTCTGTGTGGGCAATTGTTCTGTGTCAAAAAATTCCTGCGTAAAAGTTTCTTTGTGTAAAAACCGTTCTGTGCAAATGTTTCTCTGTGTAAAAGGTTCTGTGTGTAAAAGCGCCCGTGTGCCTTTATTTATGCGTGTAAATGCATCTTTGTGCAAAGCATCGGTGTTAAAAACTTCTGTGTGTAAAACTTCTTTGCGTAAAAAACCCTGTGTGTAATGGTGTCTGCGTGTAAAGGTTTATCTGTGCACAAACCCCTCTGTGTAAGAGTATCTGTGCAGAAAAGCTGCTCTGTGTAAAGGTTTCTGTGCCCAACGTCGTCTGTTGGTTGGTTGGTTGGCTGGCTGGCTGGCTGGGTGGTTGGTTGGTTGGTTGGTGGGTTCATTTTGCCAACCCCCACTGGGGGTCCATTGCAATTCTTGTCCTGCGTCAGCTTAAGTGTAGCAAGATGAATTCGATTTCTAAGCGGCCAGCGCAGCAAATCGGCTCATTTGTCGTCGCAAAAGTGTCGTCGCTTCATTTTGCGAGGCTTCAAACGATGCTGTTGTGTCCCCTGGCGTGCGAAAAGTTTTGTAGGTTCCAACCAGGCGCCACTGACTGAGTGTAGAATACGTGTGCCAATTCTCTAAGCAGAGAGGGTCTGTCAAAAACAGTCAGTGCAGAGTCCTGCAAATACAAATTAGATATTCGCTTAGGAGCGGGTGAGCTGATAGTTTGACGCCATTGGCTATACTCTCGCACTTTTACCTCATGAGGATTTTTCCGTCGGAGGCTGTTGGAAGTGATTGCATATACTCTCCGGATCTCTCCCGGTACTGCAAGTGACCTGCAGGTGGACAAAGAGTGCCAATCCCAGGCATTTTGGATGGTTTACCAGTTTACGCATGGAAAATGAAAGAAAATGAAGGTTTCACTGTGGGGAGGGTCTTGACAACGATACATCATCACTATGTGCAGCTTGCTAAAGCCGTCATGTCGATTGTCGACCTTTGCTTCTGCCCTGGGCCAGCTGTTGCTGTTGCTGTTGCTGTTGCTGCTGCTGTTGCTGTTGGTGCTGTTGTTGTTGTTGTTGGTGGTGGTGGTGGTGGTGGTGGTGTTGTAGTGTTGTTATTATTGTTGTTGCCCCTGCAGCTTTCTTCTCAGTCTCGTATTGGCCGAAAATCGTCAAATAGGTCGTATTTGCGCGTTTTTGGAGACTCTCGGAGCAAAAAACACCGTAAATACCCATGTTGTTTGTGCCTCGGAAGGCCAAAACCACGGTATTTACGATGTGTTATTTACAGTGTTTTTTGGACAGCACCGAGCAAAAACATCGGTATTTGCGCAGTTTTCGGCATGTTGAAAGAAGTTATTTTTCCATGCAAAGTCACAAAGCCCATGTAAATTACAATGTTTTGGGTCTGATTTTAGGGTTTGTGACCGGGTGGGGGGGGGGTCCTGAAATGAACAGCAATCGCCTGAATAATCAGGTAACTGGGCTGGCCAGCCTCCCCTTTACTTCATAAAGCTAAACTCAAGGTAGCACCACTGGAGCACCTTTTTTCATCATATATATATATATTTCACATATATATATATAATCTATAGCAACTACTTGGGTAACTTTGACATGCACTTTTGGATCAATTAGATTGACAACTTTGCCAAATTAGACCATCTAAGTCATGGGTGATCATCTTCCCGACGTTTGAAAATAATTTCCCCATGAGATTCCCATATAGCTGCTGGTTATATCCCATTAAACAGAGCTTATGGTAGATGTCATTTTTGGGGTTTCGAACATCAGCTTCCAGTATCTGTTGGAGATTACACTAAGATGATTATTCCATTCTATTCCCAATAGCTGGGTGAATTTATATTCCATTCTATTCCAAATAGCTGGGTGACCTTGAAAACATGGCATCCCTATAACATTTGACCCTCACGCAACGGTCGAGTCCTGGCCCAGCGGCATAGATGAAGATGCCCAGCAGTGCCAGCGTGAAGAAGACGGACCGCGTGGCCACCACGATGCCTGGCGTCGTCCGTTCATGGCAAGATAAATAGATGTGGGATTTACCAAGTCCAAATTGGAACATAATATGTATATATATATATATAAATATATATATATATAAATATGTATGACTAGATAATGAATATGTATATATATATTATATGTTTATGTGTCTGTGTCTCTGTGTCAACGTTTTTGAAGTTTTTTTAGTATTGGATTTCAGTGGATGAGTTTACTCATCAGCAATGTTGGTTTAAGCATCAAACATCGGTGCTGTCAATGGATGAACTGTGGTTTTGACTAAGAACAACATGTTTAGTTACTCAAAATGTGGGCTTGAGCAGCACATATGATATATATATAATGGATTGATTTAAGGGGAAAAATCAAGAGTAACACCAACAAATCGGCGATTCACCAATGATAAAGTGGAATACAAGGGGATTGTTTTATTGGGGTCTATATATATATATAGTATATATATATATACATATATATATACATATATATATGATTCATATGATGATAGAATGGAAAACTTATCGATGGATTGATTTTCCAGGAAATCCTGCAACTGTTCCCATCCGACTGACGCCAGGAATTCGCTGCTGAGGGTGCCAGCGAATTGAAGCATAAGACCCACGTCAGACCCAAATTTCAACTGCCCAATTCCCTATCAATGGATTGGTTTGAGGGAAACAAACTCTAAGAAAGCTGTGGATTTGTGCCTAATTTATCACTGAGGGTGTCTGGAAATATACCCTGCCAGAGAGCATCAAAACCCGTGTTTCTATGTTTTTTCTCATCAATCTTCAACATTCTTCAAGACATCCAGAGGTCCCATCCCTACTTGGTGCTTCATCCTAGGAATCGTCACTGGGTTACTCCACGTTGCAACTGGAACCTTACCCTACGCAAACTGTTAGTTTACCAGAGGGTAACTCCAGGTGTGAGCAGGGTAAGGGTAAGTACAAGGTGGTGCCCCCTAGATAGCTAAGTTGGTTTATAACTCCAATAACTATGGTTTATAGGTGATATATCTATAGTTAATGGGGTTTATAAACCAATTTTTTTCACGTTTGGGGGGCACCACCTTGTATGTAATCTCATGATAATATACCACTGGGATGAAGCACCGCTGTGTGTCGTTGCCTTTGATCAGCAACATCAGCTCGGGCATCGTTCTCAAGATCTTGGCCATGCGAGCCGTCCGCAGCAACCTACGCGAGATCCGTGATAAACGGATGGTTTAGAAAGGGAAATCACTGGAACAATCTAGGAACAACATGGACAATCCCTATAAATGGAGGGTTTTATCTCTAGAAATGGAGGGTTTTATCTCTATAAATGGAGGGTTTTTAGAGTGCTGGGAAAATCATCGAACCAAATGGGGGATTACAAAACAAAAAACATTTGATTACCAGATGGTGTAAGATCACAAATCATAGATCAGTTTCCCCCGGCAACTACCAATCCACGCGCTTTTCCCGTTGAATCTCTAAGTTCTGATGATGAACAACTGTCAAATATATGCTGTTGAAATGTTGATACATTCTGATGGATTATGTTGATATTTTCTTGTTGATGGTTTTGATGCTTCCAAATTTCCCAAAAAAAATCATTCTGCAGCAACCCTCCCAAAAATACCACAGGTCACTCTGCCGCAACCTGCAACATCCACCCAGGGGTGCCCAGGTCCCACCTCAAGACCCGCAGGATGCGTAAGATGGTGGCATTCTGAAAGACGCTCACCGACTCGCCGTTGAGCAACATCACCAACTGAGCAGCATCGCAGCTGTTGGACGAAGAGGAGACGGGTGGTTTTTACCCCGTCTCACCGGAACTCAAATATGAAAATCCACCATTTTTCGTGGCAAGTTGAATGGAAAATACCGTGAAGATCATGTTCCAAACAACATTTAAGTGGCGTTTCTGTTGAGTCTGTTGAGGAAAAAAACACTCTTGGCTCTTGGTGTGGCCAGATATGGTTGTACGGTATATATAGATGTACCCATGGATATCCCAAAATTCCATCAAATATGGCTTGAATCGTGGAGCATGAGCTTTGAAAGCACAAGGTTTTGGAGCATCCTTATTTTCAGACAAATACATCTGGATGTCAGATGATTTCGCTGTGAGAATCTTCCCTTGCTTTCGGTCTGTGTGGGAAGCATGGCCCAGTCTTAGATACCTTTATTGCAATATATTGCAATTACGTGTTGCTCGTGATATCCCCATTTATGGCAAAACAGTACCATGCAAGGTTTCCCCAACCTGCCATTAAGTTCCTTGAAAAATAGATCCTCAATACCACCCTACAGTTTGTGAGTGGATATCACAAACAAACAGAGATCGTCCAAATGGCCATGCGTCAACTGACCCCATGAATTTCCATTCAAAATGACCCATAAAGGGAGGTCCAGATCTGCCTTTTTTAAGGATGTTTCGGAGGTCTCTATACAATATGTTTTATGGGTCAACATTTTATCATGACACCGTGGGTTTTCGGTTTCAAATAGCTGGTGCTTATTGATGGATGCTCACCCAGACATCATAGGTTTTGACCAATCCTCATTGGGCCCTTAAATTGCCAGCAAATAATAGTGCACATGAGATTTCGGACCACGGGACTTTGAGGCTAAAACAAGATCTAACAAACCTAGACCTCGGGCTGTACCTTCTGGCTGTCTCAAACATAGCAACGGAAAGTCCACCCCAATTTTAGAGGATTCTTCCATTCAATACCTCATTTCTGGAGGATTTCCCAGCTTACTTGATTTCCAGAGGGTCTGTGCGATGCCAATTTTCGCCAAGGCGCATAAACTCCCCAAACCTCTACGATCATCAGGATCTGCAATGCTGGGGCTGTGGCCACATGCCCAGGAACTGCATCTGTGCTGTCCCCAGAGTTTCCAAGGGGAGGCTATCATGACAGAAAGGGATGAGAGGGGTGTCCACCAGTTGCACTGGTATATGGCACTGCCTACAGGTAGTCATATGGGCCCAATCATTCAGGTGTTTTCCAGTCTTAGCAAGTTGAAACTCGTGTATCTTCCCAATTCAATGGACCCTGGGTCTTCCAGAATCCTTGTTTGACACCTCGCTTTCACCATGTTTTCGGTGGAAAATCATCATCGATAGTCCCCCATTAACTCACAGGGTGATGAAAATTAATGACCCAGGATCGCCCCAGGAGCCCCCACGACCAACATCGCGTCAAAGATGAACCAGGCATCTTTGAGACACTTCCTCCGGCGAAGCCGGGGCTTGGAAAGTAAAGCATGTTCGAGCTAGGGCCATCGCCCGACATGCCAGATCCTCAAAGCACCATGTAGAGCTAAGCTAAGCAGGCTTGTTTTCTGTTATAGTATATAGTTTAATACAGTATACTACTATATATGTTTTGTTGATATAATGCGACTTAGAGATATTTCATGTTGTGCTTCATGATATTTCATGACTCATGATATAACAATAGCTTATAATAGCCTGTAGCAACAAAGAAAGAATTACTCTACCAGAAGATTGATAAGGGCATCTGTTGCCGCAAATGTAGGTCTACTATGGTCTACTGTCCTGCAAAATAACGCCTCATAAATGTTAACAGTTCATGTTTTTATATAGGAGTTTCCTAAAATAGTAGGCTTCCCCCCCAAATCATCCATTTTTCATAGGATCTTCCATGATTTTCCATGATTTTCACCATCCAGCTATTGGGGTACCTCCATGTCAGGAAGCCCTGAGGGATCATGATACCAAACAGAATTCATGCATCAACTGCCATGAAAACCTGCCAAAATGGTTCGAGATCATTAACAAGACAAGCAAATGACCAATCATTCAGATCATCAAGATAATTAAACTACTGGTTGACGTCCAAAATCATTACCTTCTTGTTATTTAACACAACTATGGAACATTGCCCACTTATAGATGAGAAACATGATGATCTACCTACCTATCCGCCGACCCCGGCCTTCGCCAAGGCCGGGGCGGCGCCTGGGACCACCGCAGGTGTGGAACTTTTCCGCGCACATAGCCCTCTCTCGTTAAGGTACCAACAAGCCCAACACACGCCACTCCCGCACACAAAAGCCACCACAAGGCCACAGCAATGGCTCAAGCGCACCCCACGGCCGCAGCAATGGCTTCTTATACGCGTTCAAGGCTGCCGTTTGCCAGGCCTCAAACGCTCCAAAGCCCTCCAAAACCCTCCAAACCCTCCAAAAGTCCGGCCAGCTCCGCAGGGAAAAGGTGCCCCAACAAGCCCAACACGCGCCACTGCCGCGCGCAAAAGCCACCACAAGGCCACAGCAATGGCTCAAGGGCACCCCACGGCCGCAGCAATGGCTTCTTATACGCGTTCAAGGCTGCCGTTTGCCAGGCCTCAAACGCTCCAAAACCCTCCAAAACCCTCCCACCCTCCAAAAGTCCGGCCAGCTCCGCAAGGAAAAGGTACCCCAACAAGCCCAACACGCGCCACTCCCGCACGCAAAAGCCACCACAAGGCCACAGCAATGGCTCAAGAGCACCCCACGGCCGCAGCAATGGCTTCTTATACGCGTTCAAGGCTGCCGTTTGCCAGGCCTCAAACGCTCCAAAACCCTCCAAAACCCTCCAAACCCTCCAAAAGTCCGGCCAGCTCCGCAAGGAAAAGGTACCCCAACAAGCCCAACACGCGCCACTCCCGCACGCAAAAGCCACCACAAGGCCACAGCAATGGCTCAAGGGCACCCCACGGCCGCAGCAATGGCTTCTTATACGCGTTCAAGGCTGCCGTTTCAAACGCTCCAAAACCCTCCAAAACCCTCCAAACCCTCCAAAAGTCCGGCCAGCTCCGCAGGGAAAAGGTACCCCAACAAGCCCAACACGCGCCACTGCCGCACGCAAAAGCCACCACAAGGCCACAGCAATGGCTCAAGGGCACCCCACGGCCGCAGCAATGGCTTCTTATACGCGTTCAAGGCTGCCGTTTGCCAGGCCTCAAACGCTCCAAAACCCTCCAAACCCTCCAAAAGTCCGGCCAGCTCCGCTCCGCAAGGAAAAGGTACCCCAACAAGCCCAACACGCGCCACTGCCGCACGCAAAAGCCACCACAAGGCCACAGCAATGGCTCAAGGGCACCCCACGGCCGCAGCAATGGCTTCTTATACGCGTTCAAGGCTGCCGTTTGCCAGGCCTCAAACGCTCCAAAACCCTCCAAACCCTCCAAAAGTCCGGCCAGCTCCGCTCCGCAAGGAAAAGGTACCCCAACAAGCCCAACACGCGCCACTCCCGCACGCAAAAGCCACCACAAGGCCACAGCAATGGCTCAAGAGCACCCCACGGCCGCAGCAATGGCTTCTTATACGCGTTCAAGGCTGCCGTTTGCCAGGCCTCAAACGCTCCAAAGCCCTCCAAAACCCTCCAAACCCTCCAAAAGTCCGGCCAAGCCTCCCAACACGCGCCACTGCCGCACGCAAAAGCCACCACAAGGCCACAGCAATGGCTCAAGGGCACCCCACGGCCGCAGCAATGGCTTCTTATACGCGTTCAAGGCTGCCGTTTGCCAGGCCTCAAACGCTCCAAACCCTCCAAACCCTCCAAACCCTCCAAACCCTCCAAAAGACCGCCCAGCTCCGCAGGGAAAAGGTAACGCTCCAAAACCCTCCAAAACCCTCCCAACCCTCCAACAGTCCGGCCAGCTCCGCAAGGAAAAGGTACCCCAACAAGCCCAACACGCGTCACTCCCGCACGCAAAAGCCACCACAAGGCCACAGCAATGGCTCAAGGGCACCCCACGGCCGCAGCAATGGCTTCTTATACGCGTTCAAGGCTGCCGTTTGCCAGGCCTCAAACGCTCCAAAACCCTCCAACCCCTCCAAAAGTCCGGCCAGCTCCGCAAGGAAAAGGTACCCCAACAAGCCCAACACGCGCCACTCCCGCACGCAAAAGCCACCACAAGGCCACAGCAATGGCTCAAGGGCACCTTCCGGCCGCAGCAATGGCTTCTTATAAGCGTTCAAGGCTGCCGTTTGCCAGGCCTCAAACCCTCCAAAACCCTCCAAACGCTCCAAAACCCTCCAAACGCTCCAAAAGTTCGCATAGCTCCGCAGGGACAAGGTACCCCCAACAAGCCCAACACGCGCCACTCCCGCACGCAAAAGCCACCACAAGGCCACAGCAATGGCTCAAGGGCACCTTCCGGCCGCAGCAATGCTTCTTATAGGCGTTCAAGGCTGCCGTTTGCCAGGCCTCAAACCCTCCAAAACCCTCCAAACGCTCCAAAACCCTCCAAACGCTCCAAACGCTCCAAAAGTTCGCATAGCTCCGCAGGGACAAGGTACCCCAACAAGCCCAACCAAACCCTCCAAAACCCTCCAAACGCTCCAAAAGTTCGCATAGCTCCGCAGGGACAAGGTACCCCAACAAGCCCAGCACGCGCCACTCCCGCACGCAAAAGCCACCACAAGGCCACAGCAATGGCTCAAGGGCACCTTCCGGCCGCAGCAATGGCTTCTTATAGGCGTTCAAGGCTTCCGTTTGCCAGGCCTCAAACCCTCCAAAACCCTCCAAACGCTCCAAAAGTTCGCATAGCTCCGCAGGGACAAGGTACCCCAACAAGCCCAACACGCGCCACTCCCGCACGCAAAAACCACCACAAGGCCACAGCAATGGCTCAAGGGCACCTTCCGGCCGCAGCAATGGCTTCTTATAGGCGTTCAAGGCTGCCGTTTGCCAGGCCTCAAACCCTCCAAACGCTCCAAAAGATTCCAAAAGTCCGCCCAGCTCCGCAGGGAACAGGTACACCAACAAGCCCAACACGCGCCGCTCCTGCACGCAAAAGCCACCACAAGGCCACAGCAATGGCTGAAGGGCACCCCCCGGCCGCAGCAATGGCTTCTTATAGGCGTTCAAGGCTGCCGTTTGCCAGGCCTCAAACCCTCCAAAACCCTCCAAACGCTCCAAAACCCTCCAAACGCTCCAAAAGTTCGCATAGCTCCGCAGGGACAAGGTATCCCAACAAGCCCAACACGCGCCACTCCCGCACGCAAAAGCCACCACAAGGCCACAGCAATGGCTCAAGGGCACCTTCCGGCCGCAGCAATGGCTTCTTATAGGCGTTCAAGGCTGCCGTTTGCCAGCCCCGGCATTGTCCTTTTATGGTGGTTCAAGCCTGCCGTTTGCCAGCCCGCAAAACCCCCCAAATGCTTCCCTGCAGCTCCCATGCCATTTGCCAGCCCCGGCATTGTCCTTTTATGGTGGTTCAAGCCTGCCGTTTGCCAGCCCGCAAAAGGCGATGATGAGGCGCCACAACTCGTGGCCCTGGCGCGGCAAGCTCAGCAGCTTCCGGAGATCAGTACCCTTGATTATCCCTGAGTTTCAAAATCAATGATACTCTACCACCAATCATACAATGATAGGAGGCCAAATATGCTTAAAAATATGAACTGAGGTCTGACTTCAAATTTGTAGCGTCATACTCATTGCATACACATTGCACCTTGTGATTGAATTGCGGCATGTTGGGGCATATCAAAACATATATGTCCATGTCTGTCCCACCATGTACCACCATCGACCTCAGCACGGCCCGCCGGAAGCGACGCGCCACTGACCCACTGAACCGCTGATGCCGTCGGATGCCGTCGGAGTATCTATCTCTCCTCTCTATCTATCTATCTATCTCTCCCTCTCTATCTTTCTCTCCCCCTCTATCTATCTCTCCCTCTCTATCTATCTATCCATCTATCTATCTATCCATCCAGCTATCTATCCATCTATCTCTCCATCTACTTATCTGTCTATCCAACTGTCTATCTATCTATCTGTCTATCTCTCTCTCTCTCTCTCTCTATCTCTCTACCTATCTCCATCCATCCATCCATCCATCCATCTATCTATCTCTCTCCCTCTCTCTGCAGGACCCCCCAAATAGGGGGGGTCGGCGGCACCCGGGCGCTAGCCCATTCTATTATTGGATCGATTACCCGGCCTGGTAAACTAACAGTTTGCGACATAGAAAATGGCTATAGAAATAGTGAGTTTTCCTAAAAATGGTGATTTTCCGTGGTCTTTTGTATGTTTACCAGAGGGTACTAATATCCAAATGGAAATACAACCCATTTGGGGTGATTGTGGGAATATTGGAATGGCTGATCCGCTGAAACATTCATCATCCCGGATCAACAGCAACGTATCACCGTGGCATGACCCTAGATAATTGCTGAGAAAAATGGGTTTAAGTTTAAGCAAGAACCAATGGAAATATGCAATCTAAGCGTAATCAAGAGTTCCACCAGGTTGATTTTCGCAATCTCTTGCGATTTGAAGATTCTTTTCGCCTTTCACAATCTCGGTTTGTGGATATGTGTGGATCAAAATTGAATCAAAAACCCAGGCCGTGTTTTCGCACATCATGGCCGAGCCCTGCCGGGCTCGGCACCAGCATGCGTCGCTTCCATGGGGCCCGGTGTTGCCAGCTGTGATGTAGTCCCAGCTGATAGGGTGGTCCCTGGTGCCAGATGTGGGGTGCAGGGAAGGCTTGCGATGTGGAAAAACCTGCAGAAAAACCCCTGGAAAATCTGGAAATGATCTAAAAATGATGGGTAAACTCCACATCTAATTAGATCATATTACATCTATCTTAGTTTACGGCAGGGTACCTATGGGTGATTTGGCGGTTCATTGTCCAAAAAGATCCTATACCCCCCAGCAGAAATGGTGATAGGCAGCAGAAGTGGCCGCGACCAAAAACAAATAATAATGGGTTAGCCAATGCATAGGAATAGGGGCCATAAGCTGGCAAACCACACCACAAGTGGTTTCAGTTGTATGGGGTGGAAAAAAAAGTCCTGCTTTTCATCAACCATCTATGGGTGGAACGAATGGATTTTGCTCAACTGGTGTCAGTCCAATAAATCAATAGATGTTCATAAACTACCAGTAATTAACGCTAGATTAATCAACGTTAGGTAGATTTAATAATCCAATAAATCCATAGATTAATAAATCCATAGATGAATAAACTAGATTACCCTCTGGTAATTTCACATAGCTATGGAAAATCCACCCATTTTTCATGGGAAAATCCACTATAAATGGCCATGTTCAATAGCTTTTTGTATGTTTACCAGGCCGGGTAACCGATGTTTGGAGCTCAACCGTGGGAAATCCCAGCCAGGCCTTAGCCATGTTTGACACCAGAGGGTCGCCACTAAGAAGTGAACCCCGTAAATTCTGAGTCCTATCCCATAAAAGTGTCACTTCTTCATATGGAATCAATTGGATGAATATATACATAATATATATATATATGTGTATATATATACATACATATATATACATATAGATATATAATTATGTATATATAATATATATAAATATCTATTCCCCATAGTTTCTTAGTTATTTGTTGCTTAACCATGGGATTTACTAGGCCACGGGCTCCGCTGCCTCTTGGTATGGCTGTGATTTCTCCAGCTCTCAAGCGCCTCCTCCTGGGATCATCGGAGATCATCGGGACATCATCGATGTACATGGAGTACAATGTATATGTATATATATACATATATATGGGTAAATTACAATATTTCACTAACCTGAATTAAGGCTATCTTGGGGATGATTTCCCTTACTAACCATGATTCCAGTGAGGTCGCAGTGAGGTCGTTATAATTTTCCTAGATTATGTATATAATTATATATATATACATGGCAGTGTGTCAAAACCATGTACCCCTGGTGAACCCCAAAATAGCTGGTAAATGGATGTTCATCCCCCTAATAAACTGTATCTATAGGTATTGATCCATAGCCATATATCCAAAAAGATGCTGAAAAGTGTGAAACCAGAAAGTTCGATGATATTTACTGAACATGTCGTCCAGTGTTCCCACCTTTCGATCTGTTTTGGGGCTGACTTTCTCCAAATGATGTCTCAGTGTAACCCATCAAGAGAATTCTCGGAAAGTCAATGAAAAAAGGGCAATTTTTGTGGAGCCCATATAGTAAATGAGTAGCATGAAGAGAGTGAAGTCATGTTTTATCTATATATTATCTATCACATATTTATATATATATATAATTCCCCTGTGAAATGTTGCCCTATGGGGTGCCTCTTGTAAGTGGCTTCTAACTAAGGATTGTCTTAAGCCAACGGGAAATTACACCAATTTCTTACAGCAATGGAATGGGGTCATGTTGCTTTGATGGGTGGATAGCCAATGAAAAAAGGCAGGGGCCATCCCCAACCCTTGGCTGCTTGCGACTAAGACTGTTTATTTTGATCCCACCGAAATCTTGGTTTACCCATTTCCACATGGTCCCAGAAATCATTCTCCAACAGCACAGACTGGTAAACTCTGCATTCCAAGTGTCTGGAAAGGAGCGAAAAACAAAGTAGCTGGGCAATTGCAGGGCAAAGAGCACCACGCAGAGAATGCCCAAGAAGCGTACCTTAGAAATGCATTCTGCTTAGAAATGCTATGGAAAACCCCACGTTCAATCATGTTCATACCCTCTGGTAAACTAACAGTTTTCTATTGAAAATTGTCATTTATAGTGAGTTTTCCCATAAAAAATGGGTGGATTTTCCATAGCTATGTAAACGTTTACCAGAGGGTAGGTAAATCATTGAACTAAAGGGTCCGTGGCTTCCATGGCTATGTATTTGATAATCTTTCAGGCCCCCTTCTTTGATCATCTCAAAAGTTACGTAAAAATTGGGCCACTTACTGATATCACTAATATGTCAAACTTGTAGAAATCCTGAGATAGCTCGAGATTTCTACCTTCCCCTACACTGTTTCTGTGAATCTCAAGTAGTCTTTCATCATACTTTATAACTTGAAAACCCTCCTCCGGGATTTTTTTGGGCCCTTCCATTTAGCATGCGTCCTTCCATAAAATCGCATCATTTCGAGAAGGGAGGGGTTTGACATCCATTGGGAGAAAATGATGACCTCCCGCAAAAAAGTATCCGTAAATCCAACATTAAAAATCAGTGGTAAATGCCTGTAAGTCCTCATTGTTCCTCATATCTATCCATACATTTCCCAGTTTCTTGTCTCATCTTGTCTCCCTCCAAGTCATTCGCCGTCCAAGATGTCCAAGCGACGAAGTGAAAGAAGAGGACCCAACCAGCTCCCAATTCTCCCAGCTCCTCCACAGCGCAAGCTGGTGGTTTTTTGCTGAGCAAAATTTAGATTTAGAGAACCTCGAAACAGATCTTATATAATCTTATATAAACTTATGTAATGTTATATAATGTTATATAACGTTATATAATGTTATATAATGTTATATAGCTATATATATATATGTAATAATAGCATTGTATAAAAACATCTGATGCATGAATGTATGCATAGATGGTGGTGTATTGATTTAATTGGCTTTGCTTCGGATTTCACTCGGCTTATGTGCCCAACTTGGAGCAACGAAGACAGGGATAGCACGGAAGCCATGTCTCACCACTGCACGAATGATTCAATTATGTATGTTGTGTAGCAAAAGCTTCTATGACATTGCAACATCCGGCGTCATCAAACATGGTAAACATCTTCTTTGCTGGAAATCCACTAAGTCACTATTTATAGGTGAACAGGTGGTCTGTTTATAGGTGATGTTCCCAACATTTCCCAACTATGACATACCGGAGGGGATCCGTCGTCTAAAAAAAGTGGACATCCCAAAGATGAAAAAACTCCGAGAACCCAAGAGAAATCACGAAAAATTGAAATGTTGCAGAGTTATGCCAGGCGTTTCGGATGCTAGGCCACTAAGTTTCATAGCATCACTGTCTGGACAAAGCTGCTGAAAGCTTGCTGGACCGGATTTTGGAGTCATAATTTTGACCAGGTGTTGGTTTAGGTATGTGCACTTTTCCGGTGCTTAAGCCATACTCTCTTTTTGCGCACCTGGATGTTGCAAAAGAGACTGAAGGGCGGTGCATTCTTCAGTGCCTGATGGACACAGCAACCGGGGGCACTGATCAAAGATATCTGGGAAACAGCAACATATACTGGTTGGTGGTTGGTTTGAACCCCTCTGGAAAATATTAGTCAGTTGGGATGATTTTTCCCAATATCTGGAAAAATAAAAGATGTTCCAAACCACCAACCAGGCAACAAAAAAAATAGGTCTTTTTCTGAAAATCAGGTACCCCCCGATCCCAATAAATCATCATGTTCCCTGTTTTTTAGTGGCTACTTTCGTGGTTTTCCCATTTTTTTCACAAACACACGAGACTATCTCAACATGTTTCATCAGGAAAAGTTGGATCCATTGGGATTTGATTTTGATGACCATGGCACGCTTGCATGTTGCTGGGGATATTTGCGGACGATATACCCAACCTGGTTATGACTAACAGTTTGCCATGGTATAGATGGTCCATTTATAGATGGTTTACCGAACTTAAAAATGGGTGGATCTTTCCATGGCAAACTGTTAAATAACCAGATGGTAATTGCGATATAACCAACAACATGATAGGGGTATGTCCAAATATAAATAATGAGGCAATTTTAACTTACACCCCAAAGTTTTCATGCAAATTTGGTAGGAACATAATGATGATTCACCAGTGGATCTTGGGGTACAATATTTTCAGACAACACCACATATACTATCTGCTTATTTAACAGTTTGCCATGGAAAATCACCATTTTTTATAGGTAAACCATCTATATATAAATGGGCCATGTCCCATGGCTGTGTTGAATAACCAGAGGGTAACTGGAGTAGTATAGTTAATCCCATCTTCCGATGATATTAAATGCCACAATAAGATATCCCTACGAAAGGAAAACATCCCATACATTCCACCAGGGTTTCTTTTGGCGCGCATTCTATATCAGGGGGGAACTATTTACATATCAGAGACATGGTTGTTCATGGTTATGAACCATGGCTATCTCTCTTTTCTATACAATATATAACCATAAGGGGTTTAAATATATATATATATGATTATGGTATATTATGGTTATGGACCACTTGTATTTCACGAACAATACATGCTATGGGTTTGTCTGAAAAAATGATTTAGACATGAGCGGATTTGCGAAACAGAAAATATAGGGCGTAAAAAATAGCAAACAACATATCAATGGAGATGATTGATGAGATGGAATGCGATATATGTATAGTATAGTGTATATATATATACAAGTTCCAGCAAGAAAACGACATGCGTTTGTCCCAAATTGGCGGAAAAACTGGATTTACCCCAGAAAATGATCAACACACGGAGGGGTACGTACCAGAGCCAGCGTCAGCGTGGCTGGTGGGAAAAGCCTCTATAAATGGAGGCTTTGAGTGGGAAAATCCTCTATAAATGCTGGATTTCCATAGGATTTCCCATGGAAATTTCATAACACCGCTCCAATTTTTGTATGGATTTTTCTCTCGGGTTTTGGGAGCATCCCTGCAGATTTCGCGAAATCTTGACACTTCTACATAGCCGCGGCTGGTGTTTAGCCCCACGATCTTGGTATTCAATGCCAACTATAGATCTTTAAAACTTGTGTCGATAGATTGATGATCATCCCCCAGTACGCATACAGTATATCATTATATCATGGTATATCATCCAATGTCAATGTCCTTTCATATTAATATACATATATATCCCATGAAAATCCCAGTGTTCAACCAATCTATCCCCAACATGGATAGTTCATTCGCGTGTTTCATGGTGAAATGCCATGTTTTCATGCTTACCCAACATGGTAAACTGGTAAGCTGTGGAAAGTAACATCGAAGGTCCATAGGTAAATCATCGAAGTGCATCATTTCCAGCAGGCTGCCAGAGCTCCAGTACCAGAGATGATCCCCATATGAAGACCATATCATTTCCCCATGGAGAGTGAAATTTCCCCTGTTTGATCAATGGCTTTAACATGGCTTAAACGGCAGAAAAACCATCAAAAATGAAGTCTAAGTCAACCATTTATGGATAGGAAATCCCCAAAAATGATAGAACAGTAAAATCATGTCAAATCCCAGTAACATAGTGATCAAATGTGATCAATCACTGTTCCATTTTCTTTGCTTAATATCCCGCCTGCGCTTCGGCGTCAGCACCACTGAGACCGCTCTGTGCCAGGTCTTCAAAGGCCTTCCTGGCGTCGCAAATGGCGGAACCCGCCAACGAAAACGAAAAAAAAAACGGAGCGTAATTTGCCAAAGGTTGAAGAAATCTTAGCTCAGAAAATTTGGATGCTGCAGTTTTTACTTAATTTGTCCATCAGTTTCCAAAGATTTGGATTTGACCAACAGAAATCAGCGGATTTCATTCACCGATATGAGGATTTTAGCAACCAGACTTGGAGGATTGAGCGGCTTAGCAGACATGGAGATGTTACTCAAAAAGCTGGTGATTTCGCAAAAAGAAGTTTAGATAAACATATTTCACGAGAAAGAATTGGAGATTCCAGCGGTAAAAAAAACTTAGAGATTGAGGTTTTTCCATCATGTTTTACCCACAAACATTGGGCTGAAACAACTTTCAACTGGCATTTTTCACCAGCAGAAATAGAGATCCGTTGCAAAATTTGGGACATCATCATCCCTTTCCATCTCCAAGGGCCTTAGCTGTGCGCTAGGATCAATTTCCATGGGATACATGGCTTGTCATCCAAGAATGGGAATCAGAATGTGGGTATTTTACCATGTTGTTAACCACAAAAATCACTGCAATGTGGTGCCCCTCAGTGATGTTTGTTGGTTTATAAACCCCATGAATACTATAGTTATATCATGTTATATCAACCAACTTAGCTAACTATGGGGCACCACCGGCACCACCTTGTGGGAATGGTCAATTTGAATCCCACCAACAACTTGCTGATGACTGGGGGATGGTTTACATTGGATGATTTGGATGAAAAAAATCTCCGATTCGCGCAGCCCCGACCTCACAGAGAACACGCCACTGTGCTTTCCATGGATCTGCGCGCAGCACGGTATTCTCCAGGAAAACCACGGATGATGTTTCGCATGAAATGTTTCGCATGAAAGGTACTGGACCATATTTCTGGCCATATTTTGTGGGGATATTCCCTGAAATTTGGGCCTGAAAAATAGGCCTTATATATGGTAGGTACCTCGAATTTATGTTCCTGAAATTCCCATTGACATGTGGGAAGATTCCGATTGTTCCTCTATCCAATTCCGGAAGATATGGGTTAGACCGTCAAAATACGATGGTTGGGTACAACCACAATGGTACAACCAGTGCCAGGATTGTTGGATGGCGCGATCCCAACATAAAATCGATTATTGAACCAGCTAATCCAGCTATGAATTTTGGATGGCAGCCAATGCTGATTAACTACTGGTCATGGGAACAGGATTCCCAATCATGGGCTTAGAGCAACCCATGTGATGTATGAATCTGAAACAAAAACTGTTGTCGGCCCTACAATAGGGGGCCCACGGTTGTGAAAAATAACCAGTTACATCCGACTGTGTCTAACTGGAATTTGAACGGGTCAAATGCCAGTTACCCTCTGGTAAACATACAAAAAGCTATTGAAAATGGCCATTTATAGTTGATTTACCCATTAAAAAAGGTGATTTTCCATAGTTATGTTAGTTTACCAGATGGTAAATAGGTTTAGAGTGAAAGTATCTTGAAATTACTTGAAAATCATCCAATTGTAGCTGAAAGAAGGCCCTTCTTTTTGTCCGAACCACGGATGAATTGGCGTACTTCATACAGCATTCCAACCATAGCTAACCTTAGATTATCCTTTTCTTAAAGGCAATGGCACTCCTTTGTGGGATATCAAACATCAATCAAACTGTACAAAATTCAAGCCAGCAAAACCATGCAAAACCAATCGATTTACACATATTACTACCTACATCCACCAAGGAAATAGATACAATCGTCCCCACTTCAGATTGTCGAAAGCCGCGTGTTGTGCTTGTGAAGATCGGCAGCAAAGCATCTGGTGGTTCACGGCCTCTTTTGGGCTGGCCCATAATGTTTCAAGTACATATGGATATACAGATCAGACTCTTTTTGTTAGACATATAAAGATGGTACAAATGCAGATAACATCATCGCTATGTATCTATGTATGTATCTATGTATCTATGTATCTATGTATCTATGTATGTATGTATGTCTGTCTGTATGTATGTATGTATGTAGGTACGTAGGTAGGTAGGTAGGTAGGTAGGTAGACAAATATGTAGCTGAGCGTGAGTGTGCTATGTTTGTATACATACATCTATTTAAGTACAAATATGTACACACATACATATTATTGGTATCAATCCACAGATCTATGTAAATAATATTAAATAAATAAATAAATGAATAAATATTTTTAGTGTGATAGTTTTATATTGGGATGTGTCAAAACCTTGTACCCTGTAGTTCACATCAAAATAGCTGGTAAATATGGATGTTCCCCTGAAATGCTATTTACCCTCTGGTAATTTAAGATAGCTATTGAAAATGGCCCATAGAAATAGCTGATTTACCTAAATAAAGATGGCGATTTCCATAGCTTTTTGTATGGTTACCAGAGGGTATGGCTATTGATCCATAGCCATACCCTCTGGTAATGACTAACATAACTATGGAAAATCACCATTTATAGTGGATTTTCCCATGAAACATGGTGATTTCCCATAGTTTTTCATGGGAAAATCACCATGTTTAATAGGTAAATCAACTATAAATGACCATGTTCAATGGGTAAATCACCCATTTTTCATAGGTAAATCAACAAACTCAACAGCCATTTTCAAGGCATCCCTCCTCCGCTAAGCTCTGGGAGAGCACGAAGAGCGTGGCATTCGCCGTGACGTTGGCCTCCGCCAAGGTTTGCGAGTCCTGGGCTTCCCCCAGGCAACGGCCGCGAAAGAAAAACGGCGAGCTTTCCAGAGGATTAAACCACCAAAAATGGGTCGGATTCAAGGAAATTCAGCAAAATTGAGTTGGTAAATCGCAAAAAATGATACAGATTGACTGTTCATGGTTATGGCAATGTTTGGCAAGTTTCATGAGAGTTCACCAACAAAAAAACGATATAACAAGGGAAATTGCATATTTTGTTTTGAAACCAGACAGAATGGGAGGTTTTGTCAACCAAAAATTATAATGGATGGTGATTTAACGTGACTGAAATGGGGATTTAAGTATCAAAAAAATCATGATAATGAAATATGTTCTGGGATCTGATTGAGATTAACTTACATAAACAAAAAACGGACTTAACTGCGGAAAATGACAATCAATGGTAATGGAATCAACAAAAAATGAAGGGTTAACCAACAACAAATCACTTGAATCATTATAAATTGAGATATAATGGGGTATGACACCAGCCGTGGGTGTGCCAATTTCAATGGTGAAAATCATTGGATATGGCACTACAGTATCATCACCACCAAAAAATCACCAGAACCAGGGCTCTGACCAACATCAACATCTGTCAAAGTTACCAACTTCAATGGCGAAATCTGACGCAAACAAGAAGAGGAATGAACATTTGGAGAAAATCGGGGGTACATGCCAAACCAACGTAATTCCACTTGACAAAAATCGGGATAGAAATATCGAAAATGCATGCACCACTACTGCAAAATGATCATTTCTGGGTGTCTCAACTTGAAGCCCAAAAATCTCATGGTTTACTCTCTGGTAAACGTTTACATAACTATGGAAAATCACCATTTTTCATGGGTAAATCAACGATTTCTATGGCCATTTTCAATAGCAAACTGTTAGTTTACCAGAGGGTATCATCGTTGAATCATGGCGTCCCACTCAAACCTCCATTTTTTGGGGAGATGTTCCGGCCAGCCATGTTGGAGTACCAGGAGCTAAATCCATGACTACCCCACAATAAATCCCATTATTATCACATTCTATAAAACCATATAAACACCATATAAATGGCTATGTCCATATATATATATATCCATTAATATCCATTAATATCCATTAATATCCATTAATATTCATTAATATCCATTAATATTCATTAATATCCATTAATATCCATTAATATCCATTAATATTCATTAATATCCATTAATATCCATTAATATCCATTAATATCCATTAATATCCATTAATATCCATTAATATCCATTAATATCCATTAATATCCATTAATATCCATTAATATCCATTAATATCCATTAATATCCATTAATATCCTTACTAAACCATATAAATTGAATATAAATGGCTATTTCCACACCGTGACCGTGACCCGCGTTTTGGATGACGCGGAGTCCGTTCCTCCAAGACTTCCCCCTGGAAGAGAAGCGTCACATCCACCTCGTCAGGGGTCAAGATCAAGGGGATAAGGTTTGGCAAAGGGAAAAATGCATATAGTTGATGATATTCGACTATAATGTATAATTGATGACAGTTGATGATAATTGATGATAATTGATGACAGTTGATGATAATTGACTATAGATGCTTGAATATAATTGATGACAAGTGATGATAATTGACTACATATGATTGGAAAAAGATGACAATTAATGATATTTGAGCCTACGGGTTGAAAACCGTCCGAGCGTTTTAGGCATTTTTTTATATGTTCCTTGGGGTGGGGTGGGGTGGGGTGGGGTAATACCGTTCACGTACTTGCGTACTCCCATGATGTTACGCCACGGCACGTTCACTTGCACGTTTGCACATACGTCATGCTACGTTGAAGATGTGTCACGTCACGCAGGGGTGGGGTGGGGTGGGGTGGGGTGGGCAATAACGTTCACGTACTTGCGCACTCCCATGATGTTACGCCACGGCACGTTCACTTGCACGTGCGCACATACGTCATGCTACGTTGAAGATGTGTCACGTCACGCAGGGGTGGGGTGGGGTGGGGTGGGGTGGGGTAATAACGTTCACGTACTTGCGCACTCCCATGGAGAAAACAGGTGCGTACTTAGCGAAGATGTAGAGATCACCCGAAAAAATGGCTGCCGCTGAGGTTTTGGGCACACTGACTTCCCAAAAGGAACCTTTTTCGCACGCCGACATGTCAACTATATACAGTAAATCCCAATGAAAATTCAAAATCACAATAGAATTGACCTTCATGGACAACATAAAAACATGAAAAAACACTGCGAAACGCATGATTGACTTCTTGCCAGTCACATGAAAATGCTGTTTTTACTCGGCCCATTTCCAACCCGGCGGGATATTTGACTATATACAATTGAATAGAATTGATTACAAATCGATGATAATTGCCTATATATGACTGAATATAATTGATGACCATTGATGATACTTGACTACATATGATTGACAAAAAAGATGACAATTGATGATAATTGACTATAGACAATTGAATATCATTGATTACAAATCGATGATAATTGCCTATATATGATTGAATATAATTGATGACAGCTGATAGTTGATGATAATTGACTTAATTGATCATATATAATTTGTAAGTGCATGATATACTTTACCTCTATCGATCATAATCCAGGTGCGTCAAAAGTGGTTTCTTGAAATTGAAGGAGCATTGAGAGTTGCAACCCTCAAATCTAGATCAAGAATGGGTCAAAATTGGAGATCTACCCCATTTTGAATGGTTCGTTACGGGTTGGAGTATCTTTTTGACCCACTTTCAAAGGTCACTCACTTACCTAGGGCCTTGCGCTGGTTGGTCGGGTTTAATCCCAACTGATAGCTACCCTGAAAAAACAAAGAACTCAGGACCTGCATTGATGGCAGAAAATCAACACAGAAGTACCAAAACATTCAAAGTTCTACCTGATATCATGCAGTGTAAAACCCATGTGTCATTCGTCGAAATACCAATCATCCAATCCAATCTTGTCTTGGTGAATTTCCTGTGTACTTCGTGATATCTTCATAGCTGCTATTTCAATCTTCATGTGCATTTCTGAAGTCACCTTTTTTTGAGTCATGTCGCAATTTCTGCTGGAAATGTAGAAAATACGGTGGATGGAAGAAATCCTGCACCAGTTGATAGATGGTTTATCCCATTATTTATAGGCTTTCAACCATCCGTCCAAGGTGGTGCCGGATTTCGCAACCATCCACAGTAAACTCCCCATTTGCAGATGATGTGCCTATTCTTTTCCCCTGAAAATGGCCATAAAATTGGGCTTAAAGCCCAAGAAGTTTTTTCAAACAAATCCAAAAATATCTAGGAATATCTTGGGGAATCTACACCTAGAACTATTTCATCTATTTCTATAACCTGAAATTTCCAAAAAATTCTTCATGGGTATCATTTCAAAAAAAAGACCTGTCTCAAAACTTCCACCAGTGACCTCTCCAGAAACCTCGCCTCATCGAGGTCATCTTCACCCTGCTTGCGCAGCTGCTCCAGGAAAAGGCGTTGGATCTTGGATCGCACCTCCAGCGGAGCCATAAAAGTCGGTGTCCCATGGTTTTTTTCCCATGGATTTTACCATGGATTTTATGGTGGTTTAATGGGATTTTAATGGGATTTTATGGTGGTTTAATGGGATTCTAATGGGATTTTATGGTGGTTTAATGGGATTTTAATGGAATTTTAATGGGATTTTAATGGGATTTGATAGGATTTACCCGGCCTGGTTGGTAATGACGGACTAACACATATAGCGACATAGAAAATGATGGCCCAGTCGAAATCGAAATCCTTTTCCCATGAACAGCATGGGGATGTTCCATAGTTTTTTGTAAACGTTTACCAGAGGGTAATATGGGTGAAAACCCAATGGATCATAGAGGCTTTCCCCAAGATTAAACCAGAATAAACCTCTATCTAAGGTGGCGTTCACGTGACGTTCAGCTCGAAAAAAATTGGTGTTTAACTAACTGTTTAACTAGCTGTTTAACTAACTGTTTGACTAGGGATTAATGGGGATTTCTCACTTGATTGGGCAGAAAATGTGGGGAGTTCACTGACAGTTGAATCAAAGATACTCAATGTAGTATCAAGAGCAACATTCTAGTCAAGTATCTTGATTTTAAAGATAGATATAAATAACTACTGACACTACTACCATAGTGAGATTGATATCCTATGATATTCTCAAATTTTAACCAAAAAAACTGAGTGTTTTTAATGGTTCACTGGTGTTTCCACCATATTCTTGGCCTAGAGGTGGTGGCAAGAGAATTCAGCCAAACAATTATGATTCAACCAGCCCCGGCATGAATCAGCAAGTCAAATATGTCAAATATATTCATATAAAATTGTGTATATATATAATATATATATATGTCAATGAAAATCAATGGAAGTACTGGCATGATCCTTCAACGTAGTAGATCTGTAAAGTTGTGCTTTTCAAAGCCTCACTTTACCAAAGTCGATCGGGATCCATTGGGACATACCAAAAGCTGGCCATGGCAACGGTATCGCACAGTTTGTGTGCAGCCCATTCTCTACATTCTTGATCTCAAAAATGATACAATAAATGAAACTAAACTCAGAATTTCAACTATCAAGATTATCAAGTCAGACTTTCAACTATCACCAATTTCAACTATCAAGTCATGTTTCATTGACCTTTTCTCGGGTCAAAACTCTTCCATTTTTCAGGCCACATCCCCTGAGGCGAAAGGACGAAGGCCACACTGTCGCTGGGCTCAAAGTCCATGGGAATTCCTTGAACCGTCAAGCATGGCGAACATTGCATGTGGATGAGGTGTCAACATACATACATATGTATATATATATGTATATATATATGTATATATATATAAAAGCATTATATGTAATGTAGGTAAAACAAAAATAAATGTAGTAAATAAATGGTTTATATATATAATGTATGATGTGGATGAGTTTCAACATAAATCTATAGGGTATCCCTACATCCACTGGTTCCACATGGGGGGTTCCATAGTCATCGGGGTATCCCCATAGCTGGATGGATGGTTTATTTCATGGAAAATCCCATCTATAGATGGATGATTTAGGGGTACCACCATTTCAGGAAACCTCCGTATAATATATACATTATAATTATATATATACCATATACCCAGGAAACTATTATATACTTAAAACTATAGCAAACATTGAAGTTCTTCATCGTATTTTCAAAATACCGTCTGTTAATCCATATGGCGTGCTGGACAATCCCTCCAGAGTTTTTTTTGATTTCGCCATGTTTGATGACAGAGGGGGCCGTTTTTTTACATGGGGCTGTCCCAAAGGTCAACACGGTCAACTGAAAACCAGCATAATTGGGGACTAACTAGATTCATATTGGAGATTGTTGGGGATATCTGTCCTAATTGAAATTCAAACGTTGAGCATTCTGAGCATGTCAGGTACTGACATGCTGAAAAGATCTGAAAAGCAAGTTTTGTCTATGGAGATGGCTGCGTCTCTTGATTCATCAGTGATACATACCCAGCAGGACCCAGCACTGTTGGTGATACCTCCCACACTTTCAGGGGGTCAAAGTGACCAATACACAGTCGCTGATTGAAGATACACCATCATCTTGGCTCATCAACCCAAATAAGCTAGGATTTCATCCGCGTTCCATTCTAAACCATTAAAAATTCCCCCACTTCGATTCCCAGTTCTCCCTCCATCCAGTCCAGTTTTCCCAACAGCGGCAGCCAAGACACTCTTCAGCAAATGTACTCCAACCCTCATGGCCGCGGATCGCCGCGGCGATAAACCACACTCTTCAGGGCCTTGTGATTTGGCCCTTGGCCTAACTCACTCGGCCGCCGAACCAACCAACTCGGAATCACGTTGAAAAAAAGAAAATCCACCAAAAATGGAGGTGTCCGAAAACTTTTCTTAGCCCTAAATTGCCCGGAAAAATCCTCCATTCTAATGGTATCTGATGGTATCTGGTTGGTGGTATACCTACCCCTCTGAAAAATGATGGAGTGAAAGTCAGATTGGATCATCATCCCAAGTATTGGGGAAAATAAGACTTTTTTTAGTTCATGTTCCAAACCACCAACCAGGTATGTTCCATTCTAAACCATCTATTTTTTGGGATCTCCCGTTTATGGAATCCCATTTGGAATCGGCACATCATGGGACATGTTCAGGGGGACATCTCGGGTAGCAGGGACCCAATGGCCCAGTGGTAGGTGATTTACTTATTTAATATGGTGATGTTCCATAGCTATATGAGTTTACCAGAAGTTGTGATAAGATCGTGGTCCTTAGTTTATGATGGTCATCGATTAGCTCTGACTCAAGGCTTAGCTTTGTCCTTTCGAGCCAAGCAAGACAGGCGCAGTGACAAGAATACGAAGGACGGATATACAACACATATTCAGTACTGATCTTATACAACACATATTCAGTAATGATCCAAGCATTGATTTTTCATCCACTACTGTGTTGAAATCCACCATCCTCCCAAGCACGATGATTTTTCCCCCGTGTTTCAGTGATTCCCTACGCCCTACGCAAACCCTTTCAGATCCCCACAAAAAAATGCGAGGCGAAAACCGGGACGTTTCAAGTGCTTGAACCACCATTCTCAGTGATTACAACACTTCCCCCTCTGGCTATTTGTTCCATAGCTATGGAAGCCTTAGCCCATAGACATAGATGATTTATGTATAATCATATATGACCATGTATATACCTATTAAAAGAATGGTGGATTTTCTTCTGCCTTGTCCAGTTCACCAGTCTGAACCGGGGGGTAAACCGCCACTGGGCTTGGCACTTCCTCACCCAGCCAGGACCACAACTGGCAGACGTGAACATCGGCGTTAGTGGCTTGGTTTATGGTGAAAACATGGGGAAAAACAATGTTAACAATGGAGTGGTTTGTTGGAAAAAAAAAACTTCTGTTTTAACATGGTTTTAATAAACTGTAACATACTGTAACTATAGTTTTAAGTGAATGATGTGGTTTGCTCAGATTTCTGAACGGACAAATGTTCACGGCATAGCTTCGCTTCTTTGGTTTGTCAAGGATGTTGATCCTCGGCGATGCCACAGCTTTTGGGAATGGCAGTCTGGGGGATTCTTGATGCTTTTGGCCAACAAAAGCCAAGGGAGTTCATCGAAAAAAACAGGATGAACTTGGAAAAAATGGAGATGTTGATTGAATTAACCAAAATATGGGGGTTATTTAATCACCCCAACCAACTTTTCGAAATCATCTGCCTCAGACAACCACCATTCAGAGGACTTTCTGACGCCAATTCTTGGATACCATCTATGATGGTCCCCCCGATGTCCGGGCAAATTGTCATTTCCTCCGGTAAACAAACACGGCAATGGAATAATTATATAGCCCAATTCTAGATGTTTTTTCCATTAAGACTCCATTTAAAGCCTCCACTTTCTAGGACATTTCCAAGCTAGCCATGTTTGATTAGAGGAGGGTAATTTAAAAACCTGAAATGTTGGTGGCAAGCTGCCTACCGGCCTGAATGACCAGCACCTGAACAGGATTTTTTCAGAACAACGATATTCAGTTCTTTGGTTATTTTGGTGAGTAATGGTTGGCTCAATCCCAATGATTGTTGGTTTTTGTTTTCCGCATGTTGCCTTTTTCTTCTCCTACCCTCTGGTAAACTAACATAGCTATGGAAAATCACCATTTTTCATGGAAAAACTCACTATAAATGGCCATTTTCAATAGCTACGTTAGTTTACCAGAGGGTAATATCACTGGATACTCCAATCCCAATGTGTTATTGGAAGAATCCTCATTGCTGGCGAATTCCCCCCATGTTTCCCGCTCGAAGCCCTAAAATTGTTTGCGAAATCCCCATTTCAATCATTGGATATACCATCTGGTTATTTAATATTATCTGGTTATTTACCTATTCAATGGGATTATCTAATATTATCTACCATCTGGTTATGACTAACAGTTCGCCATGGAAAGATCCACCATGCTATTAAGTTCGGTAAACCATCTATTTCGATTAGGGCCATCTATACCATGGCAAACTGTTAGTCATAACCAGATGGTATGTCTAAATCCACATGGCCAGCTTGGGTTGAACATAGTTGAACTTCTCCATGGCTAAAATCGCTGCGACTTCTCCAGTCGGCATGTGCCTCCCCTTCGGAAGAGAGGAAGAAGGTCTGAGACTCACCCACTGCAACAGCCACCAAGCGGCCCTGATTGGGATTTCAATGGAGATTTTTTGCTGGGGGAAAAATCCAACTGGGGATTTTTGCTGGTGACTCTGCTGGTGACTTAGCGCTATTTTCATATGAGAAGATCATGGGAATTTCACCATGGAACCCATGGGAATCGCCAAGTTGGACGGGAAGATTATCGGTGATTAACTAATGTTGATGAATAGATTAATATGGTGTATAGAATGAATATTGCCCTCCATTTTTTGGGGGGGAGCTATTTTCATATAATGAGAATATCTTGGGAGAATATGATACCATACTATGGGAAGCTTATCTTGATGGGATGGGAAAAATAAGGGGATTTTGTTGTGATTAATAGTGATGAATGGTGATTAACCTTTATGAATCACCTATAAATGTCCTCATGTCCTCATGGTCTCACGGTGGGAGCTCTTTTTTCATACTTGAAGGATGCCACGAATCGTAAGTGGTGAATAACCACATTATGTTATACCCCAGTTATATACAAGGTGGTGCCCCCAGATATAAGTCGGTTTATAACCCCCATTAAGTATTGGCATGTCTACCATAAACCCAAGTTATTGGAGTGATAAACCAACTTAGCTAACTATGGGGCACCACCTTGTATGGGATAGCCCCCCGAATGGGACTGGCTGACTAGGGTTAGTCTCACCACTCACGATTCGTGGGATGATCCTCCGAATCGAATCGTATAGGTGTTCTGAAGATCAAGACTGCCTTGGGTTTTCCCCAGCACTGCAAGGATTCCAGTATATAATTACTTATCAAAATTACCATCAACACGTGCCTAGGAAGGTATACCAAAAAAAAACACTCATTTATGAAGCCACATAATTAAAAGTAATTTACCAGCTATTTACTACTGTTGCAGCTATTTGATAGCTATTTACCAGTTTCTTGCTGGCGGTACTATTTACCAGTCATGTTGGACTTTGACGTATAGCTGGTGAACAGCTATTGGATTAGTGATAAATACTGGGACATGTGGTGAATAGCTTCAAAATCATCTGTAAATTACTGGCAATTATGTTGGGCAATTATGATGGTGAATTGCTGCCAATTAGTATTTACTGAGCAAATGTTGATGGTAATCTTTATTATACCCTCTGGTTATTTCACATAGCCATGTTATAGATGGCCCATTTATAGATGGTTTACCTATTAAAAATGGTGATTTTCCATGGCGAACTGTTAAATAACCAGAGGGTGTATTTTTTGTAAATACCAGTAAAGTACCGGAAAGTGCTGGGGATATCCATTGCATCCCTTGCCGTGTTGTGAAAAAAAATGTTTGCAGCCCACAAATCACTGGGTTGGTTCGGGGGATGTAAGAAGCCAAAGTTTTACCATATGGGCGACATCACAACTTCGAACCATATTTGCGACCGCGATTTTGTTGATGAAATTTTGCGAAAAATTGTAACTTCGTGTAACTTCGTGTTACTGTAAAATCAATGTTCACCGCCCCTTAGATAGCTAAGTTCGATTATAACTCCAACAACTATGGTTTATGGTACACAAATAACTATAGCTACTGGGGTTTATAAACAACTTATAACTAGAGGGCCCCACATTGTAAGGTTGGTTGGCCGTTTTGAGGCGTGGGTTTCTGCTCACCTCTTCATATCGCAGTGAGAATTTGAGCCGTTGGATTTTCCACATGGTTTTCTTCCTTCTGGAGGCTATATATGATATCTACATATGCAATATCAGTCACTGAAAAAAAAAAATATCATCCCCATTTATATAGATATATGTGCAGTATGTGTACATGTATATATATATATATATATATGAATACACATAGAGATATGGTGGGTTCCATATTTATATGGCTACCCGGTTTTCCATGGGGTTTTCCCATGAAAATCCTGTGGCGATCCCAACCATCGCCGGCCTCAGGTTCCTCGCTCCCATCCGTCACGTGGATTTCCCGCACCGCCTGAGCTGGAAAAAAACCACCTAAGTGGATCCAACTGGCAGGATTTCTTCCGATTGGAGAGGGGTACTATCTATCTATCTATCTATCTATCTATCTATATATATATATTGTACATATATTATACATAATTACATCATATAAAATAAATAAATAAATTGTTTTTTGGGGCTGAGCTTGGTAGGATTTGGGGATGTGCGGGATTTACCCAACAGATTTTAGAGTCGTAAAGATTTCGCAACCAAGGGATACCCTCGGAGAAAATACCATGGAAATATCCAGACGAAACTAGCGAAATCACATCGGATCGTCTCACTGAATCACAAAGCTGCGAAATGTCACCAATCTTAACCTGGGTGATGGTGCCAATCAATCAGGTTCTAAAACTCAGGTGCCAGTTATTTACACGATATGTACATATATGTACAACTCAACATCCAGAAACCCGAAGAAATGTCTATATAAACGTTGAGGTTCCTACCTTTTGGTCAACAAGCATGGCGTGCTGGAAATATCCAATTTGTAGATTATCTACAGGTAGTATGTGTCCATCTAACCATGTGACCAAAAGACATTGGAATGATGTGCGACAAGAAAACTCATCGAGGCGGCTTTGGGCCCTCCTGAATTCAAC